TGCATTTTGTATATCATGCAAATATCAATGGAAATTAGTTATTATGATATTGTAAGTATTTAATGCATTTATAACTTTTAAATTTGGGATAGAACGAAATCAACGGTCAAAATCCAATAATAAGGAACAATTTAAAGAGTACCTTGCAAAAAAGTGTGCTTCAAAACAGTACATATTCACTAGGTACCTTGTACGGTTCGTACTAATTTAAGTACGATAATTAGATAAAAAATGCAGCGACGCTTCACATGGTTAAACCAGGTAAACATACTGCTGTTACTACATATGAAATAGACGTGCAGTCAATTATAGTTTGCAATTGTATTAAATTCTATATATATGCACATATGCATGTTAGTTATTTTCTTTTTTATTATAGAACATTACACTTAATTTTAAAATATATGTATTCGTTTGCTTTTGAAAGATATAGAAAATATCTGTAGTAGAACTAGAAAGCAAATCAATCAGCTGCAACCAGGTGGACCGTAACTCGATAGAAAACCACAACGTCAGACGTATTATTTTCACTATAAGTAGGGCATACGCAAATGACCTGCTCTCTTGACGATAGGGTTCGACATAGGAATTAGACGATAATAAGTTTCTATATTTAGAAACTTATTAATGATGAGTGATGATGATTAACAATGAGTTTAATTGAAGTGAGTGATTCCATAATTCTATAAAAAAATTGCGATTCAATTTAAGTATAATAGTAAAAAAAATTGAATATACCAATAAAATAGTCATATTTTTTTTATTTTAGGTACATAATTTATGAAATAAATTTTAAATTAAAGAATTACTTGCAATGATATCTTGTAGATATACGGTTTTCAACCAATGCTGTAACAACAGTCCAGACAATAGTTTATAGTCATAATGCAGTTTTTTTTTTAGGCATGATAATGGAATGGTGCACCCGCCTGCGCTAACGGATTACGCTGGCGGAGTGGTGAACGATAAAATGAGCATCATCATAATGCATAGTCCTAAACATTTCAGTTAATTTATGCCAAGAAAAATATAATCATTGCATACTTTTGCTTTTTGTTGTCAGGCTAAAAGATTATTGCTGTCAATTATTTTAATTATTCCGCAACTCTACTTTTGCGTAGCGTCGTCTACTTAGGGTGCTGTAAACCTTAGGCTTCGACCGGATATTCGAACGGAACGAAGCCGAACAATGGTCTGCGACTTTAGCACCAAAAATTACTTTCAGTCAATAGTAATCGTAATGAAAACTACTATTATTAATATACTGAAATACAACAATTTATTTTTGGCGTTTTAGTAAAGTGACTGATGCTGAATTTATGACGCCATTGGTAAATTAATACAATTTTATAAAAATAACCGACTATAATTAGTCATTCACCTATAAATTTTAATTACTGACATTAATATAATGTAAATTTACCACACCATACTACGTCATTCTGAAGAGGTATAATTTAAGAGTTGCTCAGTCCTTGGATGACTAAGCATCTGATGCGATGTTTAGTGCAATTTAGAGCTTACAACAAGTAATCTAAAGTGGCGTCAAGTCCATATTTAATTGCCAATGAAGTCTAAAACAATTGCGGGCCATCGCGCATCGGGCACAGCATACAATAATATGACAATTAAACACATTCAAGACTTACGAATCAAAATCAATTCATAGAATAGGTTACGACATTGAAGTGCTTTTCTTTAAAATAGGCACATTTTAATTTAATAGTATCTATAATAATAATAAACTCTTTATTGTGTCACAGAAGAAACAATAGGAAAATACAGGAAATAGTTTTTTGTTTCAATGTATTTTATTTATAAATACATACTAGTCTAAACTTAAGTTCGTTACTAAAAAACGGCGGATGTAATATATAATGTATATATATATTTCTGTCTACGTTATACATACATCTTCACACATGTACACGCGTACATTTGTGTGAAGAAATATATTTTCTATATCCAAACTATTCATTAAAAATTAATCGATCTTATTATTATCGAAATGGAGCTCATAGCTGTGGGTATGCTCTGGCGGGGCACCTGTGTAGGATGATAAGATGAGACTGAAGTCATGTTCAGACTACTGTGTCCAATTTACTATTATATTTTCAATGGGCACTTCCACGTTATACGCCTAGATACCATCTTATATAATTTGTTGTTCATTACTCACTATGGGCTAAAAAACCTGACAAGTACTACCAGTAGTCAGTACCCATTAACGAATACCGCTAGCGCAACCTGGAGCACTATTCCTCGAACACAAATATCTGTAAAGCCGAGGTGTAAATAAAAGACTCACTGTAAAATCTAAAAATAAACTAACAACGTAGGTATTCAGTGATTGCCTGAACAAATCCCGCCAATGCAATTTAAAAATAGCTAGGCATTGGTACTCGTAGTTCCATCACAAATATAGTACCTACTTGTCTACTGTAAAATCTGAGATAAAATGTAATTACTGTAGATTACGCTATGAGACATCAATAAAATTAATTGTAAAACTTACCACATCGCTGAAGCCAACCCTCAGCACGACATGGGTACGGGATCACCACCAGCAAATGATTGGCCTTCATTTTCGCGCACTATCACAATTCACAACACAACAACAAACACTGCCAAACGTGTCGGGATAGATACTATTACACACATTGTTAACCTACTAACTAACTACACTATTCTATTCAGTGGATCAGATTGAGACACTAGCGCTGTAGCGATCACAGCAGAGCGGTATAGTTCTTGACCGCCGCACCTTACTTTCACCAACTGCTAATAAAAAATAAAAAGGTCCATGTTAATCATAGATTCAATAAATTATCAAAAATATAAGTCATAGGTATACAACTTATTATTTATGTACTCAAATCTATTAACCACTAATTCAAATTCATACTTAAGGACCTACGTATCAAAATATGGATCTGATAACCAAAATTCATGTAAACGTAAGTAATTGTTATAGGTTTTTCCTTCGTTTGGTTAGTCGCAGGTTCGATTATCGAAGGATCATGCACCTGAATACAAACAATTGTATTCACAACTACGAATGTTGTTGTTTTTACTACCCATAGTACCTAGATGTAATATTATGTTATCTGTGGTACTACAAGCTCTGCTTATTCGGGACTAGATAACGCTGAGAGAAATGTCCTAGATTAGAATCATTATAGACATATGCTTGCTTATTTGAAATATAAAGTTAAATTCACGAGGACGAAGTTGCGGAACAACTAGTAATATATATATTTCAGACTATGTTATACATAGGTACTTACTTACGTATTTTTGTGTGAAAAACATGTATTTTGTTATTAGGTACGTGAAAATGATCCTAAGTCGATTTAAGACTATTATGATATAGTATAGATGTGAAACCATTTATTGTGTAAAAAGACCCGCGAAAGATTAAGCATGGTAATTACAATTCCTAACAGACATCAAAGATTAAAACAATCCTATCTACAAAGGCAAAGCTATGGGTTAAAAACAGTGTGATATTAAAAAAATATCTCTAAAAATTTCGGCTACTATAATAAATACTATTAAAATCTACTTTTGTATGGGTAGACACAATTAGGTATTATGAAACAGTGATTACAATGATTTGATTTTTTAAAAATGTATTGAATTTAAGTCCAACCCACTTGAGTACTCGTACGTACACAGTACAAATCTTATTAGTTGTTCCCGCGACTTCGTCCGCGTGGAATTTAACTTTATTTTTCTAAAATAAAAGTAGCCTAAGTTACTCCTTATTACGTCAACTACCTGCCAAAAAAGTCCCGTCAGAATCGGTCCAGCCATTTCAGTGATTAGCCGGAACAAACAGACAGACAAAAATTGTAATAATTATTATTTTGGTGTATGTACCGTATTTATATTCATATGCATGTAGTAAAAAACTGTTATTTCAATATTACATACAGACACTTCAATTTTATTTATATGTATAGATTAATATTATAAATGTGAAAGTTTGTAAGTGTGGAGGTTTATTACTTTTTCACGCAAAAACTACTGAATGGATTTTAATGAACAAAACACATAGGCTATATTTTTTAATGAAATTTAACGCGTTTGAAACCGGCACATATATAGAATACACCATTAATTGATTAGTAATACCACAGATAAGATAATATAATACGTAAGTATAACAAAAAAAAAATGTTTTGTGTTGTTTTGTGCACTTTCAACAAGTTTATTTTTATTTTTATTACAGGTATTATTACCATAAATATGTGTAATTAGGAATAAAAATATAGATTTTATTAAATATATGCAGGAAAGTCTAAAAATCGTGTGAAGGGACATGTATTTCAAAAAAATATATTAAAATATCAGTAACTATTTATTTAATATGCATGCGATATCCAGTTTTACCTTTTTAAAATATAATAATTGTCACTTAAATATTCATATTTTTAAATATGAATATTTTATATAATAAAAATATAAACAATATCACATACACGTGATAATTGCAAAAACTCGATAAACATTCACACATTCACTTCTTACAATAGCTTTCAAAAAACTGAATTGATCTATGAGCAGTATTCAGCTGTGTAACCAGACTTAAAATTTGTAATTATGCTAAATGTTCTACATAAAAAAAGCGAAATTAGTACGCTATCTAATGATTATGAGGTAGCACATCAATATTATAATTATAGACAGGAATACTATCTATTGATTGTGTAGTATTGACGGACTTTTAATCATTATTACAATTAATATTTGATGCTCACAAAATAAATTTTTAAATGACTACCATGATAACTGGTGTGACGTTAGACAGAGAATATATTTTATGATATTCAGGGTTATTTCATATATCTTTCTTATAACTACTTCAAAATTTGTTTTTAATAAAAAAAGTTTTATTTGAAAATTTTCGGCACCACCAAAATTCTGACATTTTTATAATACAGAGTTCTGGCCTTTTCTTAAGATCTTTTTGGCAACACTGTATGTCACAGAAACAACAGAAATTCAATACTTCAACAGTCTGATTATCTGTAGAATACTTACAGTGTTTGTGGTTTCAAAATGGCTCTCAAGGCTTTAGTTGGACAAAGTAAGTAAATATATTCTTTTAAATGTTAATGATATCAATTTCTCAAATCAAATGACTAATTTTCTTCACATTTCCTTCGTTACTCGCAATATGTTCTCGGGGACTCCTCTATTAATGTAGATTCTCAATGACGTTCGCCAATCTTATGATGACTAATACGAAAAAATTGTTATTTTATTGAATACTTCAATTGATTTCTGTTTATTTACGAAAATTAGTAATTACCAGACTAAATTGTTTACAATATCATACCATTATCACTTAGAATGCACATTGTAATGTAATTTTAATGTATAGGATTACGAAAAATTGAGTTATTTATGCCAATAATATTGTAGTCATGGGTTAATGTAGTTTATTTGTGTATTTCTTTATTGTTAATTCTTTGAAATTACGCTGCAATAAGCACTTCTTGTTCTTATGTTATTGATTTTCTTCTGTCATGATGGAACGGGTGGGTGGGGTGCGCCGGCCTTTACGTCACTAGCCATTGACTGTGTAACTATTATAGATACATACATTTTTATTTGTCTAGTCCTATCCAAATGAATTCAATCTAAAATATTGATTGTCTTATTTATTCACCATGCTAACTTGCATTACTGTGTAATAAACCTATTACACACAATGATACAAGCATAGCTTGTAGTATTGATTACTTTAAACTTTCTGCAAAATATGTGTTAAGTTAATATATAATTTAAGTGATAATGTAATTAGAAAATAACGCTAATTTTATATAAATTTATCTTTCCAGAGATTATGAATGAAGTGATCCGCTATCGCGGACCTAAAGGAAAGGAGTCTCAACATATAGAATGGCGAATTTTGATTGTGGATCAACTGTCAATGCGCATGGTCTCTGCATGTTGCAAGATGCATGATATATCTGCTGAAGGCATCACTTGTAAGTGTAGAAACTAGTGTATAAAGTCTTAATTAAGCCAAGCAAGTCAAGTTGTCCCTCCAACTTGACTTGCTTGGCTTAATTAAGATTTTATACACTTATGGTAACCAACTTATGATAGGAAAATTATATACCTATATAAGATTATCCATTAAAAATATTAATGTAATTTGCCTATAATCTCCAGATTAATTTTATTTTAATTTCAAGGCCAATTACATTAATATTTTAATCAATCAATACTTTCAGAATCGCAGAATTATGACAGTATTGATCATAAACTTTAACCTACTTAAGTCTATATTATACTAAATTATATTTCCTAATTTTATTCTACTATGACTCTTAACATTACTATTTGTATTGTCCTATTGTACAGTATGACTAAAGAATTGTCACAAATTTTACAGTGGTTGAAGACATCCACAAGAAGCGAGAACCACTATGTACCATGGACGGAATTTACCTCATTACACCATCAGAAAAATCTGTGCATGCTCTTATCAATGATTTTTCTGTCGGTAATCGCATCATGTATAAGGCAGCTCATGTATTCTTCACTGAAGGTATTATTAATTATAATAGAATAATTAAATATAAACTATTACAGAATGTATGTAAGTATATTGTTATATATACATATTTATTCAAATATATTTTACAAATGGTATTTTTTCAACATTGTCATATTTCCTAGTTGGTCTTATCTTTAATGTCTTAAATCTTATGTAATCTTTTCCAGACAATCTTTGGAAAGAGTGTATTTACAAAAAATAAAGTAGGTGGCGCTTGAGTGTAAATAAGTCAATGAAATAAATCAAACCTAAATCAAATTGTCATTCATACATGCAGTTTTATTTAGGACAGATTTCATTCAATAGAATACAGATATCAATTACTTTGACTGACTTTTTATGTTTTAAACATTAGGCGGTCATTATTTATACATATAATTAGTAAATCACGGGATCTTACCACATTTTATTTTTATTGACCCAGTTTATCCGTAGTCTAAAAATAAAATGTATGATGCCGTGATTTGCTAAACATATGACTTTATGGTTATAACACAAATTATTGCTAAGTATTATTTCACTTATTCATTTCATGCTTCTATTTTTAGTTTGCCTTTACGATATTATTTTATTTTCATTTTACAGCTTGCCCTGATGCATTGTTTGATCAATTGTCTCGTAGTGAAGTAGCTAAATATATTAAAACATTAAAGGAAATCAACATAGCTTTCATTCCAAATGAACAACAGGTTTGTCATTATAATAAATTTAAATAACTATAGGAAAACATAGTCTAAATTTAAAAACAACCCTATATTACATAGGGATTATTAATGTCTATTAATTTAATGTATACAAATATGTAAACATTGTTTTGCACGCTGCATTAGTGTGTCCTGAGGAGTTGTTTAATGAGTTGTGCAAGTCTACAGCAGCAAGAAAAATTAAAACTCTCAAGGAAATTAACATCGCTTTCTTACCATATGAAAGTCAGGTGACTATACAATTTCTTATTCCTTAAACTCTTATTACAGACTAGCTGTACCCGCGACTTCATCCACGTGGAATTTAACTTTATTTTTCTAAAATAAAAGTAGCCTAAGTTACTCCTTATTAAAACGGCTACCTGCCGTTAAAAGTCCGTTCAAAATGGGTCCAGGCATTTCAGAGATTACCCGGAACAAACAGATCTACAGACAGACAGACAAAAATTGTATAAAGTGGGATTTTGGTGTATTTACATTCATATGTATGTAGTAAAAAACGGTTATTTCAATATTACAAACAAACACTCCAATTTTATTTATATGTATAGATTTATCAAAGTTATGTAAATTGTCACAAGTTTAGCTTAATGATAATATATTCACAATTTGTTATAGGTATTCTCGTTGGATTCACCAGAGACCTTCCAGTGCATGTATAATCCTGTATTAGCCCAAACACGCAATGCTAACATGGAACGTATAGCTGAGCAAATTGCTACTCTCTGTGCCACACTTGGGGAATACCCGTCTGTGCGCTATCGCAGGTATATTTTATGATGCTGGCAACATACATTTGAGCAAAACCCATCAGTTAATAATAACAAACTCTGATTTCCTTTTAATGTTCTCTGTACCTAACCAAGGTAATTCTTATATATACTGAACAGTGCAAATAAGTATGACGTTTCCTCCCGTTTTTTTCAAACTTTTCATTTATATTTTACTCCTATTGGTCATAACCTTCCTCTATATATGGGATTAACAACAATTAAATATATTTTTAAGTTAAACCAATTTTAAGAAAAAACCAAACTTTATAAGCATAATCCTAACCTAACAAACTCTTCAGATTTATAATCAATATATATGTATATAAATTTTCTGTATATATTCCTACTTCATATACTTTGCTAACATAAATGTGTTTTTGTTACAGTGATTGGGAGCGCAATGTTGAACTCGCTCAACTTATACAACAGAAACTTGATGCTTACAAGGTAAAAATAACAATTAATTAAAGTATAATGAATACATAATTTTATATATACTATATATACATAGCAATAGAATTTTTTTCTGTCATATATTGAGATTACTATAAAAATTGTTTATAGGCTGATGAGCCAACAATGGGTGAAGGACCTGAGAAAGCGCGTTCCCAGCTTCTTGTTCTGGATCGTGGATTCGATTGTGTATCTCCTTTGCTGCATGAACTTACTCTTCAGGCAATGGCATACGACCTTCTACCTATTGAGAATGATGTCTATAAGTAATAAACATTTGTATTAATAAGTAATAATAATAAAATTGTTTCACAAAATGCCTTCTGAAATTAAATACTCATTGTATGATTTTATTTTCTAAGGTATGATGCATCTCAAGGTCAATTTAAAGAGGTGTTGTTAGATGAAAACGATGAACTATGGGTTGAACTCAGACACCAACACATAGCTGTTGTGTCCACATCGGTCACCAAAAAACTGAAGACATTCACTGAATCGAAGCGAATGGGAGGCGGTATGTACATTTATTACATTTATCTTATTCCTATAAATTTATTAATGATAAAATTTATTTAATTTAAATCTGTTTATTTATATTTATTTCCAGGTGACAAACAGTCGATGCGAGATCTGTCACAAATGATCAAGAAAATGCCGCAATACCAGAAAGAGCTGTCAAAATATGCGACACATTTACGTCTTGCTGAGGATTGTATGAAAGAATATCAAGGCTTTGTGGACAAACTCTGTAAAGTTGAACAGGTATAAATATTATATGAGTTGTTACTAGGTTTATGCGCTATAAACTGTAGTATATTTATCTATACTTATATATTAAGCTTGTCTTCTTTTGTGGTAGACAATACAATATACTAGATCAAACAGTACATTCTACATTTATCAATCTATGTATAACAGCTTGATTACGTACATTTAACATGTATTTTCTTCTTCACATCATCTATTTGGAGCTATCCTTGGTTGAACCAAATAATTACGTTAATTTTTACTGTGCAAACTAAATATTAATATAATTACTCTTGCTCGATTGTGTTGTCTGTTTTATCTATAGCTTATACTTTTCTTATAGGATCTTGCAATGGGAACCGATGCCGAAGGTGAAAAAATAAAGGATCATATGAGGAGCATTGTGCCTGTTCTTTTAGATCAAGTAAGAATATAAATTATTTTTAATACATCACTGCACATTAAAATTTGTGATAAATTATAATGATATTAAGTTCAGTAAATTTTAAATAATTGAAATAGGTGGAAATGTTTATAATTATATATATAAACTTGTAAATTTTTGTTAAGCAAATGGATGGATGGATGGATTATTTATTTGCAATTACAATGCTTCATTATCACCAATTTTATTTTTTTTTATATTGAATGAGGAAGAAGCTCATGAACAGTTTTAACTAAGTCTAAAATCATGAATAACAGCACGGTCGTGAAATGTACTTATAACGCCTATGCTACATCTCATGTTTGTTTAAAGCTTATTTGGATTGAAAACCTTGAGATCAAATTTTACGAAATTGTGTACTACTGTATACTAAAGCTAAAATAATTACTAGGATTGTAGAAGTTATACATCAACCTTTTGTAATACTATTTTGTAATTGATTACAGAGTGTAACAAATTACAACAAAATGCGCATCATCGCGCTGTACATCATGTCAAAGAATGGCATATCGGAAGAAAATCTGAACAAGTTGGTTACTCATGCACAGCTCGATCACTCGGACAAGCAAGCATTACTTAATCTCGCCAATCTTGGCCTGAATGTCGTTATTGATGTAAGTATTTTAATTTATTCTAATTTGTAGTTTATGTATTATGTAATAAATAATTGAATAATACTTATATAATATTATTTAAAGGGTAACAGAAAGAAACAATATCAAGTACCGAGAAAAGAACGAATTACGGAACAAACGTATCAAATGTCACGATGGACACCTGTGATTAAAGTAAGTACTCATTGTACTGTAAATCTGAACAGTTAAATAGAAAAGTCGTCTGTGAGTAAAATAATTAAATTGTTATTGAATATATATGAATTGGATGTCTATCATTTTAGGACATTATTGAAGATGCAATTGATGATAAGTTGGACCAACGCCATTTCCCGTTTTTGGCGGGACGTGCCCAGACTTCCGGATATCAAGCCCCGACAAGGTCAGTAACATACGGACAGCCCTTTTACAATGATATCTATATTAAATCATTTGAAATAATCATTATTTCTGTATATACCTATATTATGTATGCGTGTGGTATACTTAATCGCGAGGCGATTTGTTGTTCCCATCTCTTTGTATTGAAACTTATGAACCACATTGTCGTTATAGACTTTTTCTTTATAAATACATACATAATATACATAAAAAAATAACCAGACTGAAACAAACAAACATACTTTCAACATTTGTACCGTTCGAGGAATCGAAACCGCCGACCATCAGAAATCTGTGTGCGTGCGAGTAAATTCTTTTTTACTGCTATTAATTCTTTTCTCATTCACGGTATATTATTTCCCTTTCAGTGTTCGTTATGGTCATTGGCACAAAGATAAGGCACAGCAGACCATCAAAAATGTACCCCGCCTCATTGTCTTTGTAGTTGGAGGTAAGTTTTAATTGTCGCTGATGTTTAAAAAATATATTTAAATTTGTAGGCGTATGATGCAATAATAGAGATTATTATCAAGGAATTCATTTGGTATATATTGAATTATAATAACAAGGGTATATTTTAATATTAGAGGCTTGAGGTTACATATTATATTTAAATTTTATATGGAACATAATAGGATATAAATTGTATCATAAAATCTTTTTAGGTGTGTGTTTCTCCGAGATCCGTTGTGCCTACGAAGTGACAGCCGCTCTGAAGAACTGGGAAGTAATCATAGGCTCGTCCCACATTATGGCACCAGAAACTTTCCTCGCCGATCTAAACTCACTTACTGCCTAAATCGCTGAGACAGTTTGCAGTAATATTGCTTCTACTAAAGAAAGGGCCTTGACTTTTGCAGGCATATGTAGATTGAGATCAAATTACAAATTAGATAACGGTATTCTTTCGAGCATCAATTGTGATATAACTTAAATCATTACAAGTACGTGTGATTCGAAGTATATTTAAAACCCAAATCCTAATATTCGTAACGTTAGTATTATCAACATCAGTTAACTAGTCAAGCAACTAGAGACACCTCTTTCTTTATAATGTATGTGGCAGTAACCGATATAATTATATGGGATGTATAATACCATTGTGACGGAGTCACCGTACGTGATCACGTTAAGCTGTATAATCTATATTGCCAGCAATAAGTATCCCCATTAATAATAATATTATTATGTTAATTCTTATAATTAGTAAACGGGTAAGTCCTCTAAGAGCCCTTCTTAAATCAAATCTTTCAAATTCAGACGCGCGTAACAGAGAAGCAATATAATTATAAGAAGCAATAGAAAAATTCATCTGAAAGAATATAAATGAACCCTATTCTGAACGGAGTCTGAATTATAATTATAACTCTCATTTATTTAAGAACTCTAAGTAATATTTACGCTTCTTCCAATTACATGAAACTTGTTCTTTGCGCTGTAATTTTACTATTATGTTAATACCAACCGCCTTCTATCAATTTTGATTGTAAAATAATGTCATTTTTATCGATCAAATTTATTTAATTGTCAATTACATCTTCACTTTATTTTATTTGTGATATGATAATGATTGTTCAAGCTACGGATATATTTTATATAGTTTTGTTACAAATATGTAGAAAGTTTATATTGTTATAAAGTATAGTTTTAAGTGTCCTATTCGTTTAATTCTAATTGTATAATATAAATTATTATCTCTTAGTTAATATATATTTTAAAATTTTACTCTAATCATGCAGTGTACTTGAATAAACGTCGTCACTTCGTTTTCCCCTCGAAGGCAAGAAAACGGATATTTAGATTTTATCTAACGTTTAAAAAACATTTAATACATAGATTAGGTATCGTTTAAATTATTGTAACTTGTCAATAGTATATATAAAAAATGTCTTTGTGTGTCGTTATCCTAATTGCTTCACTCCGACGCCAGACATAGCTTCAAATTTTAAAATTTATACAACATACGCAACTGAATTCGCACACGCTTTGCAAAATAAACATCCAATCATAAAACTCACTTAATTTTGAACTTTGTGTGCAGTCTGCGTGTAGTGCGCTACGCAAATATTTAAATTTTGAAATCGTTCAAAGAAACCGCCTGTGGACGGAAAGTGCAAATAATTGTTCAAACTTTAAACATACTCATAAAGCTCAAATACTCGTGTCACATATAGCGACTTTGTGCGTGTTTAACTTTTTAGAAATACGTCTGGCGCCGGCTTAATAATTAATGCCAAACGCTAGAGATATCTGTATTGTAACCGGTGTAAAAAAATATAACAGATACATTTATATCTATTGGCATCTCTCACAATTCGATGTGCCCCAACAGCGATTCCATTAAATTCGATATGCACCGGTAGTTTTTCTATGAATATCTAAATGTTTGTACTATAGATTACAATTCATTATATTAATATGGTCTAGAACTTTTTGACTTAGCTCTTCAAGTAAATAATAATATAATTATTATGTAACATACAAATATATCTCATCGCATTTACTACATTCCACTTGCTACTTTATTTAAAATTGTCCTGTTGTATTTATTTCTATGTATATGTAATGCCATCTTAAATATTTCTATCATTGTTGGCAAATAAATCAAAACAGGATTTTTAAATATTCAGTAATAAAATAGATACGGCTGTTGTTTTATCAGTATTGTTAGATTTGGAATGGTGGAGATTTCTCCTTGTCTCATTCATTATTTAATTGGTAAGGTTATTTATTACAAGTAATTGTTTTAGGTAATGTTATAGTTAAGGCTGCGTTTCATATAGATATATACAATATATATACCAAATATTCATTTCACCAAATTGTTGTACCTATTGAAATTAACTGGTTAAATGAAAATAAACCAAAATTGGCCTTGTTTAACTTCTACCATTACGTCATAATGTAGATAACAACGGCGAGTACATTTTATTTCGTGCAATTACACATGTAGAAAATACTGTTCACGCATATTAATTACCAGTATTGAGATGTTAAAACTTTCATTAAATATATTTAATCAACAAATACTTGTTTTATTTTAAGACATTGTTTACTGGGCTGTGAGCTTGTGACCCGAAATGATAACATGTAGATTATGCCCATCATTATAATTTGTATTATTGCATTTACTAATTGTCAGTGAGTCGTTTCATTGACACTGAAAGAGATGGCCAAAGACCTTGTAATACTTGCTTATTCTGGAGGCTTAGACACTAGCTGCATATTAAAATGGTAATTCCTTGACTATATTTTGTTTAAAATTTATATAAATAATACAGTAATTTAATATTATTTTCAATAATAATGTCTAATAGGTTGATTCAAAAGAACTACGACGTCATTTGTTACATGGCAGATGTGGGACAATATGAAGATTTTGAGAAAGCTAAACAAAAAGCTTCAACGATCGGAGCCAAAGATGTAAGTATACGAGGTATCATAGTCACAACATACAAAACACATTAACAAATTGCTAAATAAAACAAAAGTAACAAAATAGAACGGCAATTCTCGACTAAAGGAATGCTAATCTTATTTATATATAGCAACTGGTTCTTTTTTGTTTCATTGTATAAAATTTCATGTCCACTAAAAGCAATGATCCTGATGCAGGTAAAGGAAATATAACAAAATATTAGGGATCCTCGCTATATAAGTCCGATTCGCTTTGCCTGTTTCTTTATATAAATAAACTTACAACAAATTCTTCATAGGTAATTGTAGAAGATCTACGTGAAGAATTTATAACTAACTACATGTTACCAGCTATTCAAATGGGTTTAATTTACGAAGGTCGTTACTATCTGGGAACTTCTCTGGCTCGGCCCTGCATATCGGTCGGATTAGTGAACGCTGCTAAAAAACTAGGAGCAAAGTAAGTTTTAAGCACGGTTTAAATGTAACGTATTTAATCAAATGACATCAATACTAAGAAATATAACATACCTACTAATTCCAGGTATATTTCCCATGGTGCTACAGGGAAAGGAAACGACCAAGTGCGATTTGAGCTTAGCGTGTATTCGTTGTGGCCTGAGGGCAAGGTAATATGTTTTTTATACAAAATGTCAAAGAAGCTAACACGCAGTAAATACTAGATACAGTACAGACTACAATTATAATTTACGTGGCAGGGATTTTTTAAATATCAATTACTTAATTACATACATAACATGGGTATTATAGAATAGGTATAATTTTTTTATAATATTTTTTAAATCACCTGTATTTATCTATTTATTAGAGCTTTGCATTCCATAATTTTACACTAGATGGATAGATAGCTATATTTCAAAGTAGGTTAATTATGGACCCTGTTGGGCACAGCAAGCGGAAGAAAACCGTACCCTACTTATTTTATATTTATTTACTAGCTACTCGCCCCGGCTTCGCACGTGTGTACATGTATTATATATATATAAATCTTCCTATTGAATCACTCTATCTATTAAAGAAAACCGCTTCAAAATCCGTTGCGTAGTTTTAAAGATTTAAGCGTACATACAGACTTTATTTTATACTATGTAATGATTTAAGAACTTATGTTCACAATAGTGAGCTTGTTAGCTCCATCTTGGCTTTTTAATTAATCACACATTTACGTAGTAGTACCATCTGCACGTCGGCACCTAAGACCAGATAGGTCAAAATTTATGTTGAAATAGATCATAGCACCGTGGCGCCTTCCAGAATTTTTTGAAAGATTTCAAGGACGAAGTGACCTCATTGAATTTGCGAAGAAAGAGAACATCCCTGTAACAGCAACACCTAAAGAACCGTGGTCGACAGATGAAAATATTATGCACGTAAGGTAAATTCCCGTTTTAACCATCCAATCGAATGCTGCAATAGTATGATTTTACGGATGGGCTTTGTATTGAGTTGTGTAACCCCTTAGTGTTCATATCACCTTTTTTATGAACATTTTTATCAAAAATATGTGTATGTTATGGATTTTCATCGTAATAAACATTCAATAAATTATAATAATCGTTCACCTCCCAACTTCAAATCTTATGCTATCTTTTACGACATATCAGCAATTTATCTGTTCTGATTTATATAAGTTAAACATAATATATGTAGGTTTATCTATATATAATATAGTTGCATTTCAAGAAGTGAAATAAATGTTTGAAACTTTGAATAGTCCAGTATGGGACACAGTCACCTAGATACATAAAATAATAATTGCATTTAATAATGTCTAGTAAGACAAATTCAATATTGTCTACTAGGCACTGCTGTATCTAAACTGTGTCACCCCACCTTACATTTTCCTATTTTTATTTAGTATATAAGATCATTATTTCTATGTACATATTGTCAGTTTATTATCATCTGTAATATACATCGTCTCGACCAGCAACATCGTATCATTACCCGCAACAGTGGTGACCCCGATCACATCTTTCAAACATCACATCATAACAAAAGGATTTCCCGTATGCGCTCGAGCTCGTCCTCTTCCTCCAGATAAATATAAGGCTGCCAAAAAGGAATTTCAGGACATGATAGAAATTGGCATATGCAGACCATCAAGCAGTCCATGGGCTAGTCCACTGCACATGGTAAAAAAGAAAAATGGTGAATGGAGACCATGCGGTGATTACCGCGCATTGAATAATATTACCGTACCGGACCGATATCCACTTCCAAGGTTATTGGATTTCTCGTATATTGCTAGTGGAAAATCCATCTTCAGCAAAATCGACGTCCGGAAGGCTTATCATTCCATTCCCACTGCAGAGCCAGAGAAAACCGCTATTATAACTCCGTTTGGACTTTTCGAATTTACAAGAATGCCATTCGGTTTAAGAAACGCGGGTCAGACGTTCCAAAGATTTATGGATTCGCTATTCAGAGACTTAGACTTTATTTTTATATTTGTCAATGACATTCTGATAGCCAGCGAGAGCGAGAAGGATCATTACGAACATTTAGAAATTATTTTTACTCGTTTAAATGAATATGGAATTACAATAAATATGAGCAAATGCGAGTTTTTCAAAAATGAGTTAGATTTTCTTGGTTATCATATAACGAGCCAAGGGATGAAACCGACACAAGAGAAACTAAAAGCAATCGACGATTACCCTAAACCCACGACAGTCAAAGATTTACGTCGTTATTTGGGTATGGTGAATTTTTATAGGCACCTAATTCCACACGCTGCCAAGCATCAAGCTCCGCTCAATGTATTTTTAAGAAATAGCAAGAAAAACGATAAAACAATTATCGTATGGAATACGGAAGCAGAACAAGCATTCCTACAATGTAAACAAGACATGCGTGACGTCACAACTATGACGTTTCCAGAGTCGAACGCAACGATCGCATTGATGACTGACGCTAGCTTAAAATGTGTTGGCGCAGTTCTTCACCAAAAAATTAAAAACGAATGGAAGCCAATTTCATTTTTCTCCAAATCGTTAACAGAAGCTCAAACGAGATACTCCACCTACGATAGGGAGTTATTGGGAATATATATGGCAATAAAACACTTCAGACGATTAATTGAAGGTCGTGTTTTCACAATATACACCGACCATAAACCACTAACTCATGCTTTTGCGAAGAAACCTTCGGTGGACGAGTCACCTAGGAGGATCAGATACTTGGATTTCATATCACAATTCAGTACAGATATACAGCATGTAAGCGGACACGATAACACGGTTGCCGATGCATTATCACGAGTCATCGAAACAATATCACTTCCAACCGTTATCGACTTATCCGACTTAGAAAAAAGTCAACAGAATGACATTGAGTTACAACAACTCAAAAAGAATAAATCATTACGTATGTCATTAATTCAAGTACCAAATACAAATAAAAAAATATATTGTGACATTTCCACTGAAATAGTACGTCCTTACTTGCCGCCAGATTTCAGAAAAACTATTTTCGAAAGTTACCACAATCTTAGTCATCCTGGTAAAAAAACTACAAGAAAATTAATTGGCAATAATTATATATGGACAAACATGAATACAGATATAAATAAATGGTGTGAATCATGTTTACAATGTCAGAAATCGAAAGTGCATAGACATACAAATTCACCGCTTGGTAAATATTTGCCTGCTACGCATTTTTCACATGTAAACATTGACATCGTAGGACCATTACCTACTTCGCAAAATAAACGATATATTATCACTATAATCGACAGATGCACTTCATGGCCTGAAGCTTTTCCAGTTGCAGATATAACTGCAGAAACTGTTGCAAGAGTTGTCTACGAGGGATGGATTTGCCGCTTTGGATGTCCAGACTACATCACCTCTGACCAAGGACGACAATTCGAGTCCGACGTTTTCAGAGGACTCGCCAAGTTGATGGGAATTGAGAAAATCCGTACTACACCGTACCATCCACAATCTAATGCAAAAGTGGAAAGATTACACAGAACAATGAAAACAGCATTAGTAGCCAGAGCCAACACAATAAATTGGACAAAAGAATTGCCATCAGTTCTATTCGGACTACGCTCAATTTATCGACAAGATACTGGTTGCTGCGCCGTCGAACTGGTATATGGCACTACTATCAAGTTACCGGCAAATTATTTCTATGATGAGCCGAAAATCACGTATGCTGACTTCATAAAAGATATTAAAAATAATATTAGCCGAGTTGCAGCCATCCCACAGAGAGAGAGTACAAATAAAAACATTTTTGTACATCCTCGTTTAATGGATTGCTCACACGTCTTCCTGAGATGTGACAGATTACGTCCAACGTTGACACCACCATACGAAGGACCATTTTTGGTTGTCAAACGCAAAGGAAAAGTATTCACAATCAAGCGTGACGAAAAAGAAACAAATGTGTCAATAGATAGACTCAAGCCAGCATTCATAATAAACAACGAAGCAATTGCTGGCGAGGCAGAAACAGGACACCGCTCGTCAACAGCTGACAGCCGACCTTTGAAAGTGACACGTTATGGACGCACATCTTATCCTACAGTGAGATTTAATTTGTAAAAAAAAAAAAAAAAAATTTTATTAATTTATATTGTTCATAATTAACTTTTATAATTTTTTTGTGTGTAATATATATATATATTTTCTCTCAAGGGAGGAATATCTATGGGACACAGTCACCTAGATACATAAAATAATAATTGCATTTAATAATGTCTAGTAAGACAAATTCAATATTGTCTACTAGGCACTGCTGTATCTAAACTGTGTCACCCCACCTTACATTTTCCTATTTTTATTTAGTATATAAGATCATTATTTCTATGTACATATTGTCAGTTTATTATCATCTGTAATATACATCGTCTCGACCAGCAACATCGTATCATTACCCGCAACATCCAGTAAATCCAATATTATACGTTTACGTTATTTTATACACACACAAGATGTATGGATCACTGACAAGATTTTTAAAATATATATTTATTTGACATAAATATATTTTCTTCCTTTCATTTTTTTCTAAATGATGGTAACATAATACTGAGACCAAAATGTGTGCTGATGCCATTTGTAAACAAATGTATAGGGTAACTATTATGTATAAAAACAGACATTAATGTAACTGGGATAATTTACAGTTACGAATCAGGAGTGTTGGAAGATCCCTCCGTTATTCCTCCAAAAGGAATTTATAAAATGAGCCGCGACCTCCAACAAACTGAAGATTACCCGTCAACAATAGACATAAATTTCGAAAAAGGTTTGTTAATAATAATTATGTGCAAATATATTATCGTATTGACATTCACTTTTAGCTTGGCTGCACTGCTACTATATACTTGATTCGTAATATTTCTTTGCAAATTCTTAGAAATTGGAATATTATCGTACTTCATTTTTCATATTACAGTAATTACCAATCACACACGTCCGCATTAAGGATCCTAATGAATATACATATATCCATCCGAAATATAAGCCACGTTTCTTTAGTCATGGTTTTTGTTACTCAGGTGGCAGATTTTTATTTCGAGTTTTTTTTCTCTTGCTGATGTGCCTATTTATGTTCTGTTTCTTGCCGCTTATGTAAACAAATGTCGTCTAAGGTATTATATTTTTACTCCTCCAATACGGATTGAATAATAACGTCCTTTAATACAAACACGTGTGTTCTATAATACAAAAAATATTTTCAAAGAAAACGGGTTTAAACATCAAACAGGCAGGTAATGTACAAAAGAAGAATATATGCTGAAGGAAAATAATAAAAAGTGTTATTAAAATCATCTAACAAGTATAAATAGATTGGTAAAGAAAAACCTGTTAATTTAGGTCTTCCTGTATCAGTACGAATCCCTAGTGGACACGAAAACTCACTCCTCGTCACCAACTTCGTACCTCTAGTGCAGACCTTGAATAAATTAGGAGGGCAACACGGTGTCGGTCGTATTGACATCGTAGAAAACCGCTTTCTTGGACTAAAGGTAATACAAAGAATTATTACTATCGTATCTAAAGGGAACAGATATTTTACGTAATTAATTTTCTAAACCTTCTGACCTACCTGAAGTATAGACACGGCTAGTCCTATATAGACGAAATCAAGCCGAAACTAAATTAAATTATTCATGAAACTGATTAAATGTAAACAAGAAGTAATGTGGAAAATTAAAATACGTATTGTTTTTAAATATTTTAACCCTTTAGTATAAACTGTGCGGTCAGGTGATTAATTTAGTATGAAAATTAGAACATATGAATTCAGAGTTCTTCCACATTCTCTCGCAGTGAAAGTAGTTCAGTTTTATGTGTATAATTCGTAACTCTTGGCTTGGTATATTAGATTATTAATAGATTATCCCTATAGAGAGCAACCTGTATAAAAAATACTTTGTAGTGTGTTAGTAGAGCTTCATTACGTAATTTTTAACATACATTGTACTTACTGTATTTTTTAATTATTATAGATGAAGTTATAAAAAATTACAAACCGAGTTGTTTTAACCCAGTTACCCAGATCAGTTTTCCACATATCATATTATCACTTGTTACTTTTATGATTAATTTTTATACCAGTGATATTAATAGGCATCATCATTTGGTAGTTCTTTTTTCTTGAGGACAGCCCACCAAGTAAAACATCTAATCTTGTATATTTTCTTTTCTAGTCAAGAGGACTCTATGAAACACCTGCTGGTACAATATTACATATAGCGCACGTTGATCTTGAGGCATACTCTCTTGATCGAGAAGTTCTAAGGTATGAATTCATAAACAAAATGAAAGAATAAATCCTTAGTAGGTATGTATTATAGAATGTGTGATAAATATATAATGTTTTTATTAACAGAATAAAAAAATACCTTCAAGATAAAATGGCCGATTTTGTATATAACGGATTTTGGTTTTCACCTGAAGCTAACTATACAAAAACATGCTTAGAATTATCGCAAGAGTCGGTTACTGGGACAGTTACTGTTCAAATTTTCAAAGGAACTGGTATGTACATGTTAATATCAAAACTGTATATATACATATATTATTATATAAAATACAAATTATAAATTATAAAAAAGTAAAAATTCTCAAAATTGCAAACCTATGGCCTTAGTTTACGAAGCTAAAATTCGGCTGAATGGATCCTTATTCTTATATATATAGTGTATTCTTATATATACACTGCCTGCTAAATACAAATTTAACTGAATGACGATATCCGGAAACGGCTTTCCGATAGAAACTCAAAAGTTGCTGGCAATAGTTAACTCCCTATTAAATATTGTATAACTGCTACAAGCATTCTCAAAATAATGTCCATGAACGCCTATTACTTTTGACTGACATTTTGCGGCCGACTTCGGCTATTACGTATCCATAATTTAATTTATATAGGTATATTCTCATATACCTATATAATATTATTTAGGACACTGTGTTACCGATGCCTACCGTTGTAGGTAACTCCTTGAATTATATAAATTTAAAATATGATTTTGCTATTACAGTAACCGTTTTAGCACGAAAGAGTCCTACAGCCAGTCTCTACAACAAGGAGTTGGTGTCCATGGACGTGGCTGGTGGCTTCTCACCAGAAGACAGCACTGGATTTATAAATATAAATGCATTGCGTCTTAAAGAATACTCCAGATTTACAAAACATACAAGATTTTGATTATAATATTTACAGCTGGTTTTCCTATAGTTTCTAATACTTATTTTTTTTTTATAAATATTTATACATTATACTACAATAATATACATAGTTGTACTTTAGTCTAAGTATGGATTAATATCTATAGCACAGATAATATAATATTACATATCTATACTATACTTTGGTATATACGATGAGATATATATGAAGATCATAAAGGTATCCTTCGTACAATTTGCAAGAATCTACCTACATATATAAACAAGAATTGATAGAAAGATGTGGATAAATTATTATAAAGTATAGTTTTTATACAACAAATTCCATTTGTTTTATTTGTTGATTATTAAATCTTAATGTTATCTAAATCTTTAGTCCTTTTGTCGCAGCTAAAATAAATCAATCGGTTGGTAGTTACAGTACTCTGATATTGAAACATTGATTTCTTCTTTCTTCACTTTAATTTACTGGTATCTACATTGTTTATTTTGGTACAGACTTGGGATAATAGATATAATGAGTACTAATGAGATAAAATATTTAGTGTTACTGAAGAATAAAACATAATATATATATATTTCCTGCTACAACTCTACTCTTGTAGAGGCACGTACGGAGCGGGCAAGTATGTGGCAGTCTCAAGGGTTCAAGTCTGCCGTCCACACAATAGAAGGTCGAAATGGGGGGCGTATCCCTTCTTCTGGTGCGTCTTCCCCACGGTGTGCGGAGGCGGAGAAAGAGTTTGACCTCAACGTGACCACCCTCACGTTGGGGTCTGCTTAGCTGCTCATTCCCGTACCCCGGCAATATGGCGGCGAGAAGGAATATCGTGGTTTTTCATGAGTAGTAGTCTCACAGTACTCGTCCGTCCAACCCCACATTCACATTCCCCACGTAAAAAAAAGACTAATAGTCTGCTATTTTAAATTATTTTTGATTATAACTAGAAATCTGAAACTATTAATACAAGTCAGGTTTGAGCAATTATTCGCAAAGAATAAAAGTGGTTTTCCTAGTATATTTGTAATACTATTCATAGATATCTGATTAAATATCTATGATAATAACATTGTAATTCAAAATATCCATAATTCGATTACTTAATATCGATAATTATTAGCACTCATAGTGTGCATGCCTAGTAATTAGTCTTGTGCCTATTGGTTTGCGACTGGGATCGTTCTGTTTAGTTCGCAGCTGTCTTGTAAATTAATTCGTTCCCTAGCGACTCGAGTCAGATAAAGACAGTAAGCTGATCAACATTTTAAAACGTGTAATTCTTTCCACATATACGTTTTTAAATTATTTTTTTAAGAGTAAGTTTTATGTACTTTGTTATAATATGTTATCCGTGGTTTTACTAACCGAACTAAAGATCTACGAACTAGTTACAGGGAGCGTTTCCGAACTAACTCTTGCCGAACTACTCAAGCTGATTTATAACCTATTTTGAAAAATTTTGTTTATTTATTTAAGTGTTTACTGTTTAGTTTACGCAGCGATTATTCCAGTTTTTAAATTATAAATGCTTATTATTCATTTTAATTCTTTGTAGGCTTTTTGTATATCTAACATTGAAATTGTTTATTATTGATTTGATCCGTGATAATCATTACAGTGTACTGGACATATACAATAATCAATTCTGTAATTAATGGTTTATAAAATAGTATCCTGTTGACTTGTCCTGGAAAAGCGTGATTTAATATTTTTATTAGGGTATTTAAGATTTTGTATTTTTAGTTTAGATATCACTATGCATAGAAATTTACCACAAAATAAAGAAGCTTTACTTAAATCTTACACAACGAGGCTCAAAGAAGACGTTAAAAGTATGCTTGAAAACTTTGAAGGTAATTCTTTTAACAGGAACATGTCTAATTTTTAGACGTTTCCTAGTATATATATATTATTCATACTTATTTAGCACCTATAATTCTAGTTTTCTTTCTTATTTTGGAACAAAATTGCGCTATTTGATGCCTGCTGGTCATTATGTACATAGCTGTCGGCTCACCCCGGCTCAGCATGGGCATATATTACAAGTTCTAGTTAGTAAAGAAAATGCATTAGGAACTAATTTTTTTTTTTACTTGCAAACAAGTTATGGATACTTTCAAATATAATTTAATATCAAAGATATCTCTAAATCCTTAATTCACTGATAAAATTAATCAAAACAAAGTTCCATTTACTAAATATGCCTCCTATGAATGAATAGGATATTGATAGTAATATGTATGTACTTTCAAAAGAGAGTTATTTATATTTTCTGAGTTGTAATATTTTTTTTAGAAATAATAAGACTTGCCAAAGGGGAAAGAGGAGAGAATGAATCCCAATTGAATAGAATGACTCAAATAGAACAGGACACTTTAGAAATGCAAGTCAGAGCTGCTAACATTGGTAAACACTTATATCACTTGTTTTTTATTGCCTCTTAAGTTCAAATGATAATCTCTTTTTTTTTTCAGTGAGAGCAGGAGAGTCACTTATGAAACTGGTATCAGACATCAAACAATATTTGATATTAAACGATTTTCCTTCAGTTAATGAAGCTATCACACAGAACTCAAAGTTGTTTCGTACAAAACAACAGGAATGTGATCAGAAACTCATGTCCCTTCGGGATGATATTGCAGCAGACCTTTATGATTTAGAAGATGAATACTTTACTAGTATATATAAGTAGAATCTTTTTAAGAGAGTCTGTAAAGTAAATAAATTGTACTTGTAAGTTCTTAACTCCTTTTTTAAACCAAGACATTCCAATTGAGCCAAATGAATTGTTAATTACTGTACTCATTCAGCAATAGTTTATAATTTATATCTCATATGGTTGGCCTACAATATGTGCTGACAAAAGAAATACACAATGAATTTGTATATTGAACCCTATTATACTACCAATATATTCCTTAATCCCTCATAACATATTTTAAAATAATTGCATTAGAAAACAATAATATGGTATATTTCACTAAGTGCTTTTGGACAAAAAACTACATGATTACAATAATTACAACAATGACTTTATTAATAGTCAGAATTGGCTAGGTAAGATATTTAATAGGTATTTTAAATCGAGAAATCTACTTTGATGAAAATAGGTAATGAGGTCCATCAGTAGGATACTGCTTTGCAGTCACAGGTCTTCCTATTTTATAGTCTTCCAAATAGATGTACAATGCAAAAGCTCCAGCAAGAGTTCCAAGAAACCATGTCCATTGATGTGCCAATGAGAAACGTGGTCTCATACTTATATCATAGCGATCTTCCCCAAAAATCTCAGCGCTTGAATGTATCTAAAAAATAGTAATTGAGAGATCAATGAAATGCAATTTGTTCATGAGCCATGAGTACAGCAGTAGCCCACGATTATAATAAAATCATTCCTACTTAGACATGATTAATACGATTACATTATTTCTTTGTAAATTTCATTTTACAGAGTATACATGTATACACTTCTACCATAATTTCATCCATAAAATATCACAGCTGAAATGGCTAATTTAATCATAGTAAATAATAAACTTTTCCTAAGACTGAAAGCTGCAGTGAACTTCACAACCCCACACCTCAAAGCATATTTTGTGGTCTCCAGGGAAATTCTTCTAATAAAGGTTGCAAACTACATTTCCTATCAAAGTTTCACAGGACTATTAAGTTTTCAAGAAAGGCTGTCTTAAACCCATTAGTCATTGAGTCTCATAAATACAAATATATTCAATTTTGTAATGTAAACTCACAGGCTCATTGAAATTTCTTTTCAACTCTGGTTGATCGTAAGGGTAGTGTGGATCTTTAGAATCTGCACCAATGTCAGGTAATTTAGGATAGTCACCATAACCCATATGTTCGGGATGTGGTTGATACTCCTCAATTGACATTCCATATTTCTTTGCAGCTGCAGCTCGCTCTTCTGGGGTTTTAGGATAGGGACCCGGTTTATATTCATAATTCCAATCTGAAAAGTGACGTAACTATATAGTTGGTTCCTATAGCTCTAATTAAAGAAATATTCATGGCTTATATTGATCTTACGGTTCCTCACAGCATTGAAAATTAACCCAGTATTTTTAGAAAGTACATGTCGTTTAGACAATATTACTGATTTAAACAAATTATTCATTTTATGAAACAACAAGTATTATTGAAACATGCACTAATATTTAGAATACTAGAGATGCCAAATACGTATCGACTATCGATGTTGTTTTGATTGATATTTGACACTTTAAATCTGATTTATAGTAGTGATCGTTTTCCTATTCTCAATTTATTGTTTTACACTGTGTCTTGACACTGCATCGCAGACATAAGCATTGTGATCTGTACATTGCTGTCAAATACTTTGGTGTTTTCAGTTTTCAATTCATTTCAATTTTGTGAATGGAATGATACAAAATATTAACTTGGACTTATTGTATTAAGAATAAAAACAATAATAAATGGATAAATGCTAAGACTTTGTACATGATGGGAAACGAAAATTCGCAATTAAATGGACTAGAAATTGAAGAAAAGGCAGTGGAAATAACCGACTTTTGGTCTCAATATCAGGCCACGATTAAAGATAGTTGTAGATATTTTAGTTTGAAGAGTGATGGTTCGGTGTCTGTTTTTAAAGGAGAAGCAGCATTAGGTCCTCTCTGGGCAGTTTCAACGCCACTGGAGAAATTTTCTAATGTAAGTGTTTAGTTGAATTTCACAAAAGTAGCCTTACTACATTGTGTTGAATGAATGATTATTATAAATCGTATTTTTTTATAGAATCTGTTGAAATATAGACATCCCTGCATTGTACGCTATATATCGGCATGGCAACAGCGTTCTACTCTTCATTTGGCCACTGAATATGTCCAACCATTATCGCAAGTTTTGATGACACAAACTCCTCTTCAAATTTGCATTGGACTGAATAATATTTTACGAGCTTTGGTTTTCTTGCATAATCAGGTAATATTTGAATTGTTTTTAATAGATCTTTTAGATATTGTTGGTGTATTATTATTGGAAAGAATAATTAGAAACTACTAGTTTGAATGGATTAGTCTAAAACACATTTTAAGAGAGATATACCCTCATCTGTTATTCAATGGATAGTATAGGAAGATAATAAAAAAATATGTATTTAAAGTAACAATGAAGTATAGTATAATTTCACATTACATATATGTATACTTATTTTTATTATTGGATTACCATTTTTTTTATGGTTGTGATGTTATTCTTCCAGGCTGGGATGTCACATAATAACATATGTGTATCTGCAGTTTATATTACTGGTGATGGCCAATGGAAACTAGGTGGACTTCAGTATCTTTGTTCATATTCTGAACTTACTGCTGCATATTTAAAACATGCTAGAATCCACAGGTAGATATACAATCTTTAAATAATCATAGCATTATTCTTATTGCTATGGATTAACAAAATTAACATGTAATTCAATTTGGAACAGTTTGATGTATGTTTAATTTTTTAATGTTAAATAATATTATTACATTCATTGCATCTTGATTGTAAGATTGTTTAAAATGGCCTTGCAAAAGTTTAAAATAATCCCACTTTACTTTACTGTACTTTAAGTAAGACTATACATGATACTAATGTTTGTTAGTGTGAACTGACACACTTTAGGGTTTAGTTAGAGTAGTACACCACTTAACCCAGTGCTCTCTCAATCATGACTATCTTGGCCCTAACCTTGTACTGCCTATTGTTGAATGTATTCATTATAATATAAACATATTGTTTACAGATATGATAAAGCTGTAGATCCAAATGAAGATTCATATATGATCACTACAAAAGTTGACCAATACAGTTTTGCTGTTCTAGTGGAAGATGTTTATCGTAACCACAAAGATGGTAATTACATAAATCATAGATTACAACTGATTTATTACAGTAATAAAGTTAAATTAAGTGTAATGAATCTATTTAGAAAAGATGTATATTTTTTTTGATACACTAGCTTGACCATTTTTATAATTTGAATATAGTATAGTATAGAAGTATAATATATAAGAATATATAGCATTTTTTAAATCTACTACACATTTAAAAATTGCTGTTAAAAGTATTTCTTACTGATTAATTATATACCTAAATAGTGTATTTTCATGCTAGATTTATTATTTAAATACTTATTTCTTTAATAAGCAAAGATTTATTATTTAATGTATTTGTTAATAATTAGGATTAATGAATATTATTTATTTACAGATGATGTTCCACATTTAAAGGAGTTCAAGAGATATTGTAGAGACTATTTACAGCATGATGACCCAGCACAGAGGCCAGACTTATCAGTTGTACTCCAACACAACTTCTTTAACCATGAATTTATATCTATTTACAAATTTCTCAATTTCTTACCACTTAAAACTGAAGATGAGAAAAGTGAAGTTTTCAGTAACATTTTGGATAACTTACAATGTTATGATGAAGAAACTGTGGCTAAACAACTTGGTGGATTATTATTGTCTAGACTAACTATGTTGGATCAGACGGCCCGCAAAGCTGTGATACCCTTCATTCTTAAACCAAAAAATGGTAAGTTAACACATATTAAAATACTCGTTTCATACTACATAAACTTTATATTAGTGTTCCTGCATCATTATCAAGACTTTATAACTTTATTATCCATATAGTTTTAGACTTGTGATGGATAATGAAAATATAACGCAATTGAAATTTCACACTCCTTTTTAGAACCGTCTTGTAATTAACCATTTTATATTTATATTATGAATGGACCAGCATAGATAGTCTTAATAGTTTCCAAAATATGGATACTGATTATAAAGATTTTGTAATACCTACTTGGTTTAAATCCAAATATATATGGAATAGACCAATTAGCAATTTATACCTATAATCTAACTTCCACTTGTTAGTCCTCCAGATGAAGGACCTGGATACTGTGTGTAGCTACTACTGTAAAAATATTACTGCAAGGCTTATTTTTCTGTTTACATAATAAATTATGTATGAACTTACAACTTGTTTGAAACTATTTATATTTTTGTTATTCTTTTGCAGAAAGGACACAAAATGGAGAACACACAGGATTTTTCAGTTTGAGTGTATTTAAAGAACATGTTAAACCAAGATTAATGCAATTATTTGGTGTTAGAGATAGTCAAATCAGAACTTTACTATTGACACACTTCTCAAAATTTGTTCATGTATTTTCTCATGAAGAACTATCTCAACATATTTTACCAGAGGTATGATCAAATTTCATATAGTTAACACAAATAAAAAACACTGGCAATCATGTATTTTAAACACAGAATTACAGGGGAGTAGTACTACTAAGTAAGAAAAAATTAATAGTACATTTCTTAATATGATTAATAAAATCTCAGTAGTGCAAAACATTTTTGCACAAAATTGACATACATGTACCACTATAAAATTGATAATAATGTCTATTGTTGCTTTAAAAAGTAAAGTGCAAAGTTGCCTTAATCTGATGTATAATATAATTCTAATTTTAGTATCATTGCTACATCATTCAAAAGATAACACTAATAAATGTATTGTTTGCAGTTGCTGTTGGGTATTAAAGATACAGATGATAATTTAGTAGCAGCCACTCTAACATGTTTAAGTGAATTAGTACCAATATTAGGTGGCGATACAGTGATAGGCGGCAAAAGATCAAAGTTTTTCACAGATGGAAGGCCTAATTCTAAATCTGCTTCAGAAAATGTACATGATCAGAAATTATTTTCACCAAAATCATTAAGAGATTTACCATGTTCAGAAAATATATATAATCATGAAGAGATAGAACAACAAACATATGAAAAAATATTAACACTAAATGAACGACCATCACCAGTTGGTGGAGAATCCATAGAAGATGCAGCAACAGAAACAACAATAAATAAAGTAGAGAGTGAAGATGACTGGAGTGATTGGGATAACACAAATCGTCAACTTACCATAGTTAATACTGTTGAAACAATCAATGTTGATAATGACGAACAAAAGCATAATGAGCAAATCAATGTGTTACATAGTTTAAATGAACCACAATCTGTAAAAACAACTGCAAGTACAACACTTTTACAAAAAGCGGCACTGGAAGCAAAAAAAAACATTTTAGACATATCAGAGTTAGATATTAAAAATCAAAAGATAGATTATTCAAAGAAAAGTTCAGATGAGTTTGATTTTTTCGCAGATATGAAACCTATTATTGAAAAACCAACAATTGTCCCGATTGCTCAACATAATATGATCGATGATTTAAGTAGCAAATTGAATTTTGTTCCAAATGATAATCATGATGAGGATGAAAATGAAGGTTGGGGTGACACTTGGAATGATTAACTGGGTTTGTGCAATTGAAACTGAATCAAGTTACTGTATAGTGTATTTATTTAATAGGCACAAATTAACATATGTATATTTATTTAATATATTTTCTAGTAATGTAAATAAATTGTATATTGTGAATAAACTTGCATTATAAAAATAACATGAAATTATAGAGTAAAAGTGTAATGTTCCGCCACTCATTTTCATTCCAATAATAAGAGTGGATGAAACAAATCTTTAGGGCAAGAAAGGGAAACTTAAAGGAACATTATATCAACCCAGAGCTAATCCATATCATATATGAGGATAGTTCCGGGCCCAGCACCATAAACATTCAGTAACTTATAAAACGATCTCTCTGTAACTCATTGTAATTCTGGTAGCGGTATACACAAAGGTTTATATTATATAAGACATTATTAGAAATATACTCAATGACTTTTTATTAAATTTCGAAGAAAATTAGGGGATTATGAAAAAATACAATATTAAGCGATTTACATTTTCTGTGAAAATACAGTACAAAGGTCCACTCTCCGCGTAGTAAATCGCGATACGAGTGTCGAAACACAACTAGACAATGACCGCTTCGGGAAAGACGAGTGTCTATCCAGCACTAAAGGTTTTTGAATTTGTTTGTCTTGTCGACCTTATCTACACATCTATTATTGTTATCGCAAGTAGTGCAGAATAGAAGGTACGACCACTGTGGACATTTGTATATATTAAAAGATAGGACAAGACATGGAATAGTATTAAAATTTGTGGTTAAATGTAAGAAATATTATCGTCTAAAATGAGATAACACTATTAACAAAAGCTAAGAACTTTATATATATATATACATTATAATTAAATAGTCTTCCGCAAATAAAAAATACCTTTTGTTTTTTATTTTTGTATCAATGGCCTTCATGTATGTACTATGCCAAATATTTTCGTACGGTAAATAGTCATTCGGTATATACTCAAATTTTTTTTTTATTTTACCAAGTTAATTACCTCCAAATAACAGTTACTGTAATTGCAGATGGAAATAAATAAATGAGCAATAATTACATATACTTTTATTATGAATAAATACATGCGCTTAAAATTAATATTACCACAGAATATATGGTACTAGATATGACTCACTAGAACAAAAAGTTTATATATTTTGTATCTGGGACGCTAAACATACATTATCAAAACCAAGTTTTATTTTTTTTCGCATATTCTTACGGTTTTTTTTTTAATTGAGAATCTCTTTGTTGCACTCTGTTCTTCAGCGTTTGCTCCTGTGGTTTACGCTCGCTTTAGCAGAGTTGAAATGGATTTGTAAAGTTATGATTTTATTAGAAGTTCACACACACACACACAACTCGAGTACCCCTTATGGGTTGCCATTTCCGAGCATATTAAGATGTCATAAGTCCGTACGCTATAATTTCACAAGTACATCTTATCAGGGAGAAAAAAAAATTACCTTCTTACACAAAACTTGACGTTAATAAGCGACTAAAATGTACTGCAAGAATAAATGATTTTTAAATTTGAATTTCTAAGTGGTATGGACGCTGGCTTACGAAGTTTAACCAAATTAATGGTAAATCTTTAATAAAAAAAAATATTTATGTATCTAATAAATTGCAAACATTATTATTGAAATTTATAAAACACGCAAGTGAAATCTGCAGTCCTATTACAGTATTCCACATGATTTCTAAGACCTGTGATTAAACTTTTATATTTTTTACTTTAATATATACATAGGTGATCATGTGTTGTTAATTAATATTATACCTCACAAGTTATAACTCTGAAGTAATTAAATATAAGAATTTTCTTAATATGTATCTAATAAATTAACTCAATTTATGGACTCATTTCACGCTAGCATGTGCACTGATCGTTGGCAATACTCACAGTCCTGCCCGCAGTGAGGTATGGGTGCAGTTATACGGACAATTCCCTTGAACAATACGAATTAACAAATTTGCATAACCAGCATTTATACGGCTCAGCACCTAAAGTATTAAAGGATTAAAGTAAAAGACGCATTTGTCAGATTTGTGTTATATATTCGCAACCGTTTTTAGTACAATATTGTATTAACAAGAAAAATCTATAATAGCAGGAGAGTATATTTACATATTGTTGGTGCATTCGAAATACATACTAAAATAACACATAATAAAATCTTTTAACTTGTTTTCTTTATTTTTGAACAAAAATACTAAAACTAAATATAAACACAATGGCCAATTTCCATTTCTATTGTTTAAAAAATTTGGTATTTTCCAATTCTCAGGCCATATATTACCGATTTTGGCGTACAGTTTACAAAATTCCTGTTATTTTGTCTGGAACATAAAATGCAATTTCATCCCTTAATTTTAAAAATGACAGTTCCAAACAAGTTACCTTCCTTTATTTAATTCTCTTAAGGATGAATTGATGAATCCCATAAATCGTGTTTTGATTTCGACTATATTAACCAATTATAACTAAGTAATTCTAAACCCTAATTGCATTTTAGTCCTTTATCAAAATCAAAGATCATAATTAGTTGATAAATATAAGTTATGTATTGTTTACTACTATAACGAGTGTGTATTAAAAAATAAATATTATACAATCTTCATTAATTCTTAATGTTACAATTTAAAAGATCTTTATGTACTAAGACAATTGTAATGTGGAAACAGGTACTGTTATTTTCTACTACTACTTACTAGCAAAGTTATTGGATGACATTTGAAATCCTCTTTATACAAACATACTCACAACCGTACAATAAAAGACACTAAGTATATTGTAAATTTACAACACAGCCCAAATCAAAAGTAAGTACTTACATTGCATGCATTGTAAAATTCAACTGGCTTTGCCATTTTAAACAACTTACATAATTCTACATTTAAGTAAATTGTTTTGTGTAAAATACTGATATATCATTCTTTTAAATAAAGTACTTACATACTACTTTAAGTGACTAGTTAAAGCATTGTCTAATATTTACAAATATGCAATAATGCAAATAAAATTATTGCATATTTTAAATCATAGGTGGGGGTGTACTAATATAATTTCATGCTTGTCATTTGATCTTCCACTGGTGTCCTCCGCCTCTTCCCCCTACCAATGTACTCACTAGTGCATATGGGTCCACTATTTCATATACATCCATTAAAAACTTACAAACAAATTAAATTACGTAATCAATCACATTAAATAAAATAATATTATGTCAACAAGATGTTAATAAAACAAGGACAGGAAAATTCAAAACAAACTTTCTTCTAAGATACATTTTTTTCCGAACATATGAATAAGTACTCTGAGATACTATCAGGATTTTTTCCGAACTTGTGACTACTGCTACAGAAAGATGTATTTAGCGCAAAATTGCGATACAAATAAAATACTGAGTGACTTAAAACTATTTCGTAGTTTCAAATTGAGATTCGTGTTCTCCTTCGATCCGAGCTTTGATAGTATTGATTGTCACAATTTACCAACAATTATACAAAAATAATTTATGCAACAGGTACACTTGACTAGAATAAATTATAATCTATTGTAAAAAATAATGTATTAAATAAATTATAATTTTACCAACTGTATGGAACGATAGTACTTTTTATTACCTAAGCTATAAAAAATACATTCACACCATTACTCATTCAGTCAGTGAGGAAGCATAGTTAAACTAAACGAACAAATATACAATTATTGCATTAGTTCGTTGTTTACAATACTACTTTTCTTTGTACTACCAAATCCTTAGAGCTCTCATTAAACACTTCCATCATTTGTTCTCGTGCTAGCTCCGAGAGAGCTTCTAAGTCGTTCCGAGTCATTCCTTTGGTGGGTATTGGAGGCAATGTTGTGATAACCACTTTCCCTGAACAAAAAAGTTTCTTATGATTTCTTGAATACCACTTTCATTAAAACCTATAATGAATGCCCTGATGATCTTATAGACACGGCGTATGGTATTATAAACAGCATAAAATGTTCATAGGCGAGTTTTAGCGCTTGATCGAGCAATAAGTTACGATGTATGATCTCACACTATTGTACTGCTGAGAAAATACTCAAGAGAAATATTATATCGGTAGTTAATAATTAATTTAATTGGACTGGTACTGATAAGGACGTAAGTTATAGCTATAACATTGTAATGTCACTAAAATTTACACAATACAAATATTGTAACTTACCAGGTTCAAATGTCTTACTGTCATTGTCCAAAAAATAATACTGGCTAAACACAACCGGCATTATGGGAATCTGAGCATCAATTGCCAAATAAAAGGCACCTTTCTTGAAAGGCTGTATACTGCCTTTGTTAAATCTCGCGCCTTCAGGAAACACCCACAGTTTTGTCTAAAATAGAAAAAAATAAAGTTACAACTTAGGTGTAGTTTTTAAAGCTTTAATTGGTCCTCAATTGTGAGGACGTCGTGGCCTGTCATGCTTTCTTACTGACTTAGAAAAGTCATGAGTTCGAATCAGGGATGTTAAGGAGATCCGTAACCGTAACCGAATCCGAAATAAGTTTTGGACAATATCGAATAGGGGCGGAGCCAAATTTAGACACGTTATGTAACCATTTTATTAGCTGTTTGTATTTTACTTTTGTAATTCCTTAAAAAAATATTATACGTAACCGAAATTATCCGAAAGTAACGGAGAATCCGAAATAATTTCATATCCGCATCCGTATCCGGTATAATAATCATTCCTATATCCGAAATTTCATATTCATAACATCCCTGGTTCGAATCTAACCAACATAAAAGAAAAACAAAACTATGTGTATAAATTTACATCTGTAAATGTTCTATAAAGGAATCATGGAATACCAATATCGATACTAATGCTAATTGACCTGAGTTTCGGTCGTTACGACCTCGGCTCGACAGTTTCACTTCAACACAGGTTTTAGTTTTTGAACTTTTTTATTACGATTACTATTGTTTTAAGTTATAACCTTTTCCTTGATTGATCTGATGAGATCTATTTTATTTGCCATGAAGTGGCTTTTAGCAGGTTAACAATTACTAGTGGAGTAAATATAAACTGTGGCATAAAATCTCTTATATGGGGATCATGTCGAGAACGTAACATTTCTTCACTGACGTCATTACTTATCTTTACGACAAACGAAAGCTAAACAAATTCGCTTGTGATTTTCATAAATCGTGAAAACTTTCGCCAAGTTAGAAGTAAGTCAAGAAGTATTTTATGTTTTCAGACGGCCAACATTAAGAAATAGATCTCATTAGAGCTGAGTTAGTGCTACTAGGTTTTAATTCTTAAAGGTCACTATTTTCTTGTAGATAAAATTTTACCGTGTCAAACGTCTTTGACTATTAATCGTCAGACATTAATGCTTGGCGTGTTAGGAGTGTTACATCACACAGACCTATTTGATTATGATTTGAAATGCTTCCTCTGCGAAATGGATAGTACCTGATAAGTATTTACGGATGGTTGGAAGCACTTTCATTCGCTCTTATGTCTTGGTCGGGTTAGGGATGGAACTGACGCTAGAAATGTACTATTCCCAAGTGTTACTGAGAATGTTTAAGTCCATGTAATAAAAATTACAGCAGATGATTTAAGGTTGTATCTTTACATCATTTCCTAATATTTTTACTACAAGAGCTTTTTCTCGATCCGCATAGATGTACTTTATGATAAGATTTTTGGCGCCGAACACACTGTTCGAGGTGTTACTTTGATTTCTAATAGACTAGAAAGTCATCAATATAGGCAGAATCGAATGGTGCCCATGTACTTAATCTCATGTACGAATTATTTAATGCATCTATTGACGACCTCTGTGGTCTTGCGGTTTAGCACACAGCCTTATTTCCGATGGTCGCGGGTTCGATTCCTCGCACGGTGCGAATATTTTTCGGCGGCCGTTTACAGGACGATAGGAGGGCGAGTGTAGTTGGCACTCCAAAACCGCGGAAGGACTTATGGATGCATACAACTTCAGTCTGAGGGTACAGCTAAGTATTCAAACCTCGGCTCATGGCGTTGTAATTTTCATCCCCGTTTATATTGGACGCGGGATCGATCAATTCCGATCGATACCCCATCCTCCAATTGAGACGAAACAGTGCAGATATAACTGTCTTTAGAATACATTCTAAATTTATTTTGCTGTGATTATTTGTCAGAACATATTTTTGGTTATCTTAATATCCAACATAATTGTTTTAAACAATGGTAATGCCATTTTTATGATAAAGTAATTCACTTTTAGTACTTATATATTATATTACTAACTCTTGCACATGAACCTCAAACTTTTAGTGAAATTTTAAAGGTAGCCTACCAAAGGTAACAGACACTTTGTATTTTATAATTTTAACCTTAATGGTAAATCTCATTAATATTTTCTCATCATTTCAGTATTAATTGTCCATAATTTTTGTGTTGTACAGTAATTTCCCAAAAATTAGGAGTAAGGTGGGTAATGTTAATTCAATTCAAAATTCAAAATTCGATTCATTCTATAGTAAAGTAATTCTTGACCTTTGATTATAGCTTAAAAGGAATCAGAAGTCTATCTAGGTATAATACCTTTTCCTGTATAACACGCTCCGTAGCTTCTCTCATTAATTTCCGGGCTCTGTCGGTTTTGAGTCGATCTATAAATACAAGTCCAGAAAGCCAAGCTCCGAAACCAAAGGCCCCAGTAAACATCAATGGTCTCTTTGCAACAACTGTACAGCGTTTCATGCGTGGCCACATTTCAAACATACCTTCACCAATAAAAATAATGTTAAGATGAACAAATAATGCTACACTTAGTATTATTATTATACAACATATTAACATAATAAAACAATTACCCAATATATCTAATGAGCTTTGATGATTAGATATTACTATGTAACACTGTTCATTGTCCCAATGTTCCAAGCCTCTCAATTCCCATTCTATACCCACTATATACGAGGCGTAGCGGCAAAATCTGGAAGCAACACTGAAAAAAAAATATTAATTAACATTTTACGCCAGTGCGACAAGAAAGAAATAAAAATCAATAAATAACTCACATTAAGTTAGTAACATCCCTAGGATATAATAAAACTACAGGTAATAATATGGTACACGTAACTAATACATAAGCATAATAAACAAAAAACTTCAAGTAATATCGAAACACGTTACTGTTTTCATATAAAAAAGGTAACGTAAATATAAAACAAGCCAAAACTAATTCAGGATATGAATAGAAGGAAGCCATAGCGGAACCGGAACAGAACTGAAAACTGTGTGACCAGATTTGAATTTAAAATTGAACCTAGATTGGCACAATTTAGTCTATTATACTAGTAGTACTTGCTATTTAAACAAGCCCAATGTTGAACATTGTTTGCGATTTACTTAGTTATTATTACACTATCATTAAATTATTTAGTAATTTTATTCATTTGCGATTAAATACCTAAATCGGGAAATTTTTACAACTTACCACTACACACACCACAAATCGTCACTAATTTTAATAAAATAAAAATTAATGGTACCGTCTCACCAAAAAATGTTCTTGTAACGAACTAACAATATTAATCAGACTTGCCATGCTTCTTGTTAAATATCTCCCTGACCTGCATCTCATTGCAAGATAAAGACACAATAATTACTCTTACTCTCTTTTTCATTCAAAGAGATTATGGTTTTGTTTTCACTAGTGAACATCGTTTTTAATAAGCTTTAATGTACGTAAAAATGTAAATAACAGCTTGTTTATTGGATTATTTTTACCTTTTGCCTTCCACTGAGTAAATTGTATATTAAATATTATAAGCACTTTTACAATAAAAAACATTGTACGTCTTACGGATCTGTTCTTCGTGGTAGAAAACACAATATTTTATTCCATAATGGTACTAAACAAGTTTTTAAGTAAGCAAAATTGTGCAAAAATATGTTAATTGTTAACATATTTTTGCACAATTTTGTTTACTATTTCGTAAAATCGTCACCTTTAGAAAATTTAAAATTGTTGTCTTTTCCGGTCAGTGTTGCAATCATAGTATTTTTACCACTAAGTCCGGTGAAAATGAACCCCTTTGTTCAGCAATTTGCTTCCATTAGGCTTGAAAGATCACAAAATATATAGAATAAATATAGCAACAAAAAACATTTATTATATATTTTGCAAATTTTAAAAGTATGTATAAATGTTGAAATAAATACATTGTTAAATAATTTTGAGGGACAAAATTTGGCGGAAAGTTAGGCATTCGGCATCTGGTAATACTGACTTTCTTTGTTGGCAACTTAGCTTCCGCTTAATTATCTTTCCTTTTTTGTGTCTTGTTCCAGGTTAGGATACCGTCGTGATATAATTTTAAATAATGGTGAGCACTTAAGTTGTAAATTAATCCTAACTTGTTTATCAAAATAAATGTATATAATGTTTCAGTAAGTGTACTGTGAATTTGTTGTGGGATTGTTAAGATATTTTTCGATATTATATCGTCTGATCCATTTTAGTAGCCACACATAGTATGTTTACAAATTATCTTTTATTAACTAAAATAATAATGTGTGTGCTATTGCTTGAAGAATTTATTACTTTGTTATATTATTATTATCTGTAACGTTTAAAATTTAGTTAAAATAAATGATATATGATGAAACATCGACACATGCGCGTCATCTGATGCGGCAGGACAAGACAGTCAGTCTTGCAATTACGTGTTTTACGTCGCTGCAATGCTCTGGCTGCCTTTCGAACGTTGCTTTATTGTGATTATAAAGTGTCTCTGATCTACACATTTGTTTAGAACACTAAGTTATTATTTTCCCTTTCAAAATAACCTCACCTGCGTGCTTTTTCAGGGTTTTGTTAAGGTGGTGAAGAACAAGCAATACTTCAAGAGATACCAAGTTAAATTTAAAAGGCGTCGTGAAGGCAAAACTGATTACTATGCCCGTAAACGTCTCATTGTTCAGGTACTATTTCTCTTTCCTGTTTTTAATATAGATTGACAATGTAGCGATAATGTACAGAGGATGGTACCCTACGTACCAATGGAGTGTATTAGTAGAGTGACCCAAGACTGACTAAAATTATATCATAATTCAGGACACACAAAATATAAAAGTTTTTTATTTTATAATCTTAATAAACGGTACGGACGGTAGGAAAAAAAAATTATAATGTAAAAACTTGACGTTCATAAGCGGCTAAAATGTCCTACATGAATAAATTATTTTTGAATTTGAATTTGACTGGCTGCTCTATTAATTGAATAGAATAACCTAAGTGTAATATTAAGCAGCAGATCCCACTGGGGTAGACACGCCATTATCTGTTCACACACTAAAGATCTGCCTATAATTTAGGATTGACTGCAGATTAGGGAAAAATTCTTAATTGTCATCACTGAATAGCCATCATAGCTGTCCTGTTTATCACTCATAGTCCTTCAGACTGTTAGTTTTATTTACGAAACCTTTCATATGTCTATATACCAACAGCTTTTCCTTGTTTACTATAGGCAATGCTGTAATAAGAAACTGGTAACTTAATAATTTAAATATAGTCTTATTTTTAGGATAAAAACAAATACAACACACCCAAGTATCGGCTGATCGTTCGACTTTCTAACAAGGATGTGACCTGCCAAGTTGCATACTCTCGTATTGAGGGTGACCATATTGTTTGTGCAGCATATTCTCATGAATTGCCCAAATATGGTATTAAGGTATGTTTTTATTATATAAAATGTTTTTTTTATTTCTAGTTATTTTGTATACATGTTTAGCGGCAAGCTGGCAGTTTATCTGATGATAATTAATAAATATTACCTATAGGCATGCTTTATGGACATTGTCATATATCACATGTGATCCCACTTGTGCAGTTGTTCTGGTCCACTAAGATGCCATGCATCTTATACTGTAACTTCACTGTTTTGTCTCACCTTTCAACCGTAATAGAGCTTACAAACTAAACTGCTTGGCAGTTGAAAATTACTGAGACTGGTTATTAAAGTTAAGAACATCATTAACAGAGCAATGATAGACTGGTAGAGAATGCCATCAGACAGTAATCCATATGTATATAATTTTGTGTGCAAAGATTAAATAAAGTAATCTATTTAAATTAGCTGAATAGGCAAATTGGTATATTTTTTATATGATGATTTTGAACGGGCGGTCTGAAGCGTCGTACAAACGCTCAATTCATGTTGCTATATGTTCAACACTGATGTACTTTACCTTTTAAAAAGTCTTTTAAAAAGTATTTTATTGTATGCCATATTCAAAAATTGAATTGTGTTGTAGGTAGGCCTGACAAATTATGCAGCAGCTTACTGTACTGGTTTATTGTTAGCTCGGCGTCTTTTACAAAGGCTTGGACTTGATACTCTGTATGCAGGTGCCACTGAAGTCACTGGTGACGAGTACAATGTTGAACCAGTCGATAATGGCCCAGGGGCTTTCAGGTATGACTTTAATTATATATTATTTGTGAACAACATCCTCCACCTATTACTGAACTTGAGAGAACTTGTTTTTAAATCATAAATTAAATTCAGAAAAAGGAATTCTGGTCTTTATTTTTATTGTCTTAAATAAGAGCTTGTTTTAAGAACTGATCTAGAGCCATTAACTTTTCTTTATTTCTGTATTTGAAAGTTATAGACAACTATATATACATTTTATTGTGAATTATAAGTTATAAATATAAAACGTATAAAGATCACACTTTAACAATTCCGAACAAACATATATGTTTGAAACCACTTAACTTAATTTGAAATTATTTTAGTTTTTCATTGCTTGGGGGACTATGTTCTGGATAAAAAGAACTCATAAATTTTCGCAAGTGCATATCCTAAACCTGTTTTTTTAATTTTGAGTAGACAATGACTTAAGTAGAGATGGTGATCTGTTTAAGTAATTATATTGCCTTAAATTATAGATGTTACTTGGATGTTGGTTTGGCGCGTACTACCACTGGCGCTCGAGTATTTGGAGCAATGAAAGGAGCTGTGGATGGAGGCCTCAATATACCCCACTCAATTAAAAGATTCCCAGGCTATGATGCTGAAGCAAAGAAATTCAATGCTGAAGTACACAGGTATTGCTTACCTTCCAGATACAGATTAGTTGTTTTATTTTGCTCCATTCATCCACTAATTAATAGAATCTCTATTAAATAGTCTGCCCTATAGGAGCTATAATAAACTGCAGATCATTTGGTTGTCAAAATAAATCATATAAAATTTATTTGAACCGGTTTTGCATACACATTTTAAAATGTACCATATATATATATTTGTATATATATTGTTTTTCTTTTATATTTTTTGTACTTTATATATATAGTACAAAAAAATCTGATTCGAAGGATCAGATTTTTCTTTTGTATGTAGTATTTATATCCAAATTATAAATTATATGTAACTATGATAATATAATTATTATAACAAATGTTTTTTTATTCAAATTTATAAATATCAAATAGCAAAGAAATGAAATAAGTATTTTCATTGTAGGTCTCACATTTTTGGGCTGCATGTGGCTGAATATATGCGCATTCTTGAACAAGATGATGAAGATTCATTCAAGAGACAGTTTGGCAAATACATTAAGCTTGGTGTTAATGCTGATGCTGTAAGTTTCCCTTTGTATTTAATTATTTTTACGTCTGAACAAATTACAGCTCTTGTTATGTACCAAAGCTGTGTCGAAGTCAGACAAAATTATAATGCTATACTCAGTTATTTTATAATTATCTGAATTATAAAGTTTTCTGTGGTGCCACATCACATTTATGTAGTTGCCATGATATGCCAATATTGAAAGAATGATTATACAATACCTGTTGAGATGGTTGTGGCAGAATCTGGTTTACCATAGTAAAAACTCTGTTCAACTATTTCTGTGGTGGTTTATATATATATAAGATTAAACCTTCACTAAGAAATCTTTGTTTTCTAAAATTACAACTCGTAGTATAATCATATATATGTACATTTCTGTAGACCTCTGTGTTATATTCAATCATACTAACTTTTCTTCATTTCATTTATGTTTATATATAATAATCATTTATCAGTAATAGCTATGACCAATTTCATAAGTGAATTCTTAGTATGATTACAATGAATTGATAACTTTTACTGCTGAAATATATTTTATCATATCTAAAATAATCCACATAAAGTTTGGTTATTGATTTAATTATAAGTAAAAGGTATGAATTAGATACTGATACTCACTTATTTCTGCATGTTAACAGATTGAATCCCTTTATAAGAAAGCCCATGAATCCATTCGAGCGGATCCATCACATAAAAAGAGTGACAGCAAGAAGGATCCTGCCAAACAGAAACGCTGGAACAAGCGTAAGCTGACATTGGCTGAAAGAAAGAACAGGATCAAACAGAAGAAGGAGTCCTTCATCAAGAGGCTTCAGGCGCAAGCAGAAGCTTAATGGCTATCAACAATAAATGCCAATGAACATACCACATTCTTTTATTTTAAAAAACTATGATGACATTTATTTGTATACCTTAATTTTGTTGAATGCAAAAATAATTTGGTATAATATACAACAAGCTACATACAATTTATTCCAACAAATATTTATTTTTAATACTTAAAGTAAACAATAATTAATGTAAAATTTAATACTTCTGCTGTTTAGGCATATCGCTAATATTACATTAGTAGGAATCTCTGGTAACAATCAGGAATATTGTAGTTAGGAATATTAAGTTAGGCCATCATGGTAAATTCAGCAGGAAATTATCAAGAAGGTTTCCTGACGAAACCATGTGGTGGTCAACCTGTTTATTTAAAATTGCTAGCAATGAAGTCCGCTCACATTAATAATTCACTTCACTCCCAAAATGAGAACGCTAGTTTCTTTTTGCTGAATTCCTGAGAAATAGCGTGATGGTAGAACCTTTAGGTCAGTAACCTACATACAGATTTTAATTGCGGTTAAAAGTTTGCTTATTAAACGTTCATAATTTCTGGAAGACTAATCTTCTGCAGTGATTTAAATAATAATAGCCCTTTTTCCCGAAAGTACATTTGCTGTTTTACAAAATGTCCCGCAACTCGGAGTGCCTTTTGGCATAGGCCAACTCTCAACTGAGCTCGGTCTTCCGCAACCCTGTTCCAGAGTCAGGTTGATGTCATCTTTCCATCGTGTACTTTGGCGACCCTGTTTTCTGGTCCCGTTCCTAGTATACCAGAGAGTCGCTTACTCCATTTGTTTGTTTTGCATCTTAACATGTGCCCAGTCCAACTCCATTTTAAATGATCTATTCTAGAGACTACATCCGTGGCTTTTTTTCTCTGTCTGATCTCCCAGTTTGTGATTTTGTCACTTAGTTTGATCCCCATCATACTCCTCTCCATTGCCCTTTGACATTTTGTCAGTCGGTCCCTATGATTCTCAGTCAATGACCATGTTTCACATCCATAAGTGATTTAAGTAGAGTACATAAAAAAATAGTGAACACGCCTTTTGTAAACTGGGATAAAATACAAATACAAATAAAAGTGTCAGTTATGTGATTTGTCTATAGTATTTAAATTCTTGAACATTAACACGAGTTTGGTTTAATTATATATTAAAAATTGAAAAGGGTAATAAATTTTTAGAATCCCGTATAAAAGGATATGGATAACCTGAAAGTAGTTTTTTGTAAGTCACATACGAAAAGGTGTAATTTCGTGAATTATTTGAAGAATCAAGTTTAATTTTCATTGATAAATCATCGATATATTTTTCAATCCTATCGATATTTTTTGCAACCCTAAAAAGCATGCACTATAGACATACAAACTCTATGTACTATGGTTTCGATAAACAAAATATTTACGAAACCAAAACAATTTGAAATCATCAAACATACCTCTAAATCTTACTAAAAAGTAATATTTTGTTTTTTAATGGAGCAAACGATCATGCCAACAGATATCGAGAATATTTGTCGAATATGTTTTGAGAAAGTCAAAGAAGTAATTGACTTGTTTTGTGAACAAGAAAGCTCTAAAGAAATTTTAGAAAAATTATACCTCTGTTTTCGTATTATTTTTAAATACGAAGAACATATACCAAATTCTATTTGTAAAAACTGTTTATATGAATTAAATGCAGCTTATAATTTTAGATTAAAATGTATCACATATGAAGAGAGATATAAAATATATTTAACAAAGTTAAAACAAAATAAAGAAATATCTATAAAAACTTTAAATAGAAATTCAGAAATAGATTTCGAGTTAATTGAAGACACTGATACCCACGGGGCTGATGTGTCTGATAATGATGGTTCAGGCGACTGTGGTTCAGCAGACAAAGGTACTATTACATGTTTCAAGTGTGAAACTTGTCATAAAGTTCTCAAAACAAAGTCCTCCTTGACAAAGCATAACATATCTATGCATCAAAAGAGAAAGCGAATAGGTAAAGTTACAGGGTTTGGAACTGCACGCCGCTACCACTGCACATTTTGTTCATACTCAACTCCTCACAGCCAAACTTTAGTGAATCACATGAGAAGACATGATGGAGAGAGACCGTACCATTGTGAATGTGGAAAAAGTTTCACACAGTCGTCAAGTCTCGCAGCACATCAAAAAACACATAGTGACACCACATATTACACATGTGCCATTTGTGGAAAACAATTTAAGCATGCCTACTCACTTAAAAATCACTCCCGTGTGCATGAAAGTGGTAATTTGGAGTGCAAGATCTGTCAGAAAGTTCTTAAGTCAAAGCAATCAATGAGAGACCACATACATCGACATTATAATATTCGCAACTACAACTGTGAGGATTGTGGAGGTACATTTGTAACATCATCAGAGTTACTAAATCACAGGAGGACACACAATTTGGAAAAGAAAATAGAATGTCATTTATGTGGATATAAGACACATACAAAGAAAAATCTGATAATTCATCTTAAAAGGTATGAAAAATATTTATCAGTAACAATAACTTTTTAACACAGTAAAAAGACTGCCATAGTGAAACAAAAAGTTGTGTAGTTCTAAAGCTAATAAAGATGTAGATGGTGCCATGAAATACAATAAAAAAAAGATTCTATAAAATTAAGTGTTATTTTGTGTAATAATGTAATTTTTATTCTGCCAGGAACGATACTTATTCATTATAAGAATCTTGATTATCAAATTGTATACAACATGCAAAGTTCAATGTAACTAAACACTATTAATATTATAAGAACAAACCTCTAAATAATAATTTTCACTTCATGAAACTTACTTGTACTAATAATGAATGTCTTAAGGATAAATCAGTGTTGTGTAGTAGGGTTCTTTCCAATGTCCATTAATTTTATAAAATTTCTGATTACTTTCAGACATGTAGGTGACAAGTCATTTAAATGTGAGCTTTGCGAAGTTAATTTTTATACTAAAGGAGACTTACGACGCCATCAAAGAGTTCATACCCGAGAAAAGCCTTTTTCATGTCCATCTTGCGCACAGAGATTTACACATAGTCCAAGCCTCAATAAACATATGCACACCGTACATGGCATTCAATATAAGTGGAGCGAGTTCAAATGGAAAGAAAATAAAAAAAATAAACTTGATTCAAGAGTGGAAAATTCGTAACAAATGTTTAATAAATAAAACTTGCGTTTTTTTTATTATACTATCCTAATAGACTTGAACGAGAAGAAAGTCATAGATCTGTTTTATAGAATTTAACATGTGAGTGTGCAGTGTGCACATAAACAGAAGTATGAACAACCTGTTTATAGACTGAGGCAGACAGATGCAGTGAACCCTAGAGTTGCGTGACCTAGATGAAGTACAGGAATTTCTGTAATTGGGAGCACTGTCGTAAAAAACTAGGGTGTAGGTATTTTTGGTAGGATGACTCGGTTCACAAATGCCGGTGATTGCTAAAGATGTAATAAGAACATCACAGATGATTAAAGCAGCACTATTAGCACCTAGAGAAGTTGTGGAAGAATGAAGTGTGATTTCCGCATCTACTACCTTTATAAAATCATCTGACCCAGCCCATTTGGATAAATGTATTATGTATTCCATGTAGACGGGAGAAGTGGCAGAGGTAGGGCACATGCATGATGCGATTCTAGACATTAAGCTAAATATACAGTCAGCTATCCATTTGGCACAAAATAGAAATGACTAGTGATTATTTTATTAGTACGTAGGAGTAATACATAACCCCCAGCCTTGCGGAATCGACTAAGAAGACTTAATAAAACTATTTTAAGTACACAGAATGTATTTTATTATATCTACACTGAAGCACATTATTATACGAACATCGAAATATTTTTATTTGCCTATATTAAATTTACTTATAAATTAACACATTTTCATCTAATAATTAAAAACTCCATCAAATGTTTTTACTAGTCTGATATTTTCTGCATCAAACAGACAGAATCTAAAAAACAGACTTCAATTTCAATAATTATTTATAAAAATGCTCTCGTAGAGTTAATATTAATAATCTAATAAGATTATCATTAAATTATCACTAAAAATTCGATAATGATTGTAAAAAATGTATTTGTAACCTTAATAATCAAAGTACATTGTGTAATGTTCTCAAGACTCTTGAGCATTTTTTAGGTATTGAAATATATAAAATTAACAGATAATAAAGACATCACGACACATGTTAATGAACTTTCTGCAGCCATATTTATTCTATTTTGTGTGTAACTACATTTAATAATGTTGTATTACATTTAAAAAGTGGATACCGTAATTGAATTAATTGTTATTTCTTAAAATATGATTGGCGTAGCTACATTTTCTAGAGGTATACAGAAAAGCCTACACCTCGGCTTTTGATTAAAGAAATCTGATGGATGTGTAGATACTAATTGTACATATATTTTCTATTATAAATGGTAATACTATACTTTTTTAATGGTTGCAACCATTAAAAAAGTATTACATCTCCCATCTAGATACGTCCATGAGTATGAGTAGTGATAGTAGTGGTTATAAAAATCGTATGTACTTTAATGTGCAAAGATAATTTAATTAATCTTATTTTAAACATTAAATACTAATGTAAAATATAAAATGACCTTACTACCATAAAATCAAATCAATCTTATAATTAGTCAGTAGATATCGCTACTACGTATCGTATCTAATTGTCTACATAAACAATAAGTGCATCAAGATCAGTGGCAATTTATTAATAGTTAAGAAAATACAAATAGACAGAGAAAATTCTTTACTTGTGTAAATACTACACGTGTGTTAACCAACATATCAGTATACCGGAAGACTTTTTTTTAGTAAATATGTTGCATGGATGAACGACGGTTCGGTTAATGCAAAATTAAAATGAAGACTATTTTATAAAGCTGTTAGATTTAGCTTTTGTTAAAAAATTTTTTTTCTATTTCTGACAATTAATTACATATATATCTATTGTCCTGTATATCTGTAAAGAAAAAGTAGAGCAACTATGGCAGTTGCTCTACTCGCGATAACAAAAATACTTTATAGATATGCATATCGCGCGGTATATGTAGTATGCAGGGCGGGTGAAGAGTGAAACTTTTTAACTTTTTATATCGTAGAAAATGCAAATCAATTGATATTGACTGTAATTTTAATGACTAAAATGTGTAATGCTTCTACTTCGTATAACACTATTTATCCGCCCCGGGCTTCGCACGAGTGTAATTGTATTACACATATAAACCTACCTCTTGAATCAGTCTATCTATAGCTAAAAACTGCATTAAAATCCATTGCGTAGTTTAAAAGATCCAAGCGAACAAACAACAGAAGCGACTTAATTTTATACCATATACCATAATTTTATGCAAAGTTAAAAAAAGTCATCCGGTATAAAACATGAAAAAAAACAACAGATTGAAAATTTAATCTTCTTCATAATCTTCATCATCGGAAATATATTTACGTTGCTTACGTTTTCTAGTGGGTGTATTTTTACTTTTTCCTTTCAATTTTATCTTCATTTTAACAGAGCGGTTGGACTCGCCATCAGAGTCTTCTTCATCTGCTAATACAAATGAACGCACAATGTTTTATAACTGTGGGATTGCATATTGTATGGGATGCATTGTTAATTTTTACTGGCAGTTCATATTTATAAAACGAAACAGTCAGGATAAGTCTGACGTATCATTGTACAGTATGTGTAATGTGTATACACTAGATTTTTCAGTATGGTATGATTTTTTAACTTGAACACTTCATATGTCATTTTAAATTTATAAAAATATTACTTTTCTGATGATATTTTTTTATTAGTAATCGATGTATCTTTTCCCGCCTTATCTCAATGCGCGTGTATTTTAAATATTAGCTACCAGTACTACTCAGGAAAATTTTTGTGACTAAGCAGAACATTGTTACGTTTCTTTTGTAAGTGATTAGGACAAAATAATAGGGAGATCGTGGATTAAACAGTCTCACCTTTATCATTATCGTCGGAATCATCTGAGTTTTGTCCGTTCTCATATCCACGACGAATTTCAATAAATACATTGCGTAGACGCACAGAGTCTTCGTATATAAGAGATGCTTCCTCGTTGTATGTCTGGGCATTCGCACACAGTGTGAAGAAATCGCGTTCCAAATCCGTTATATCGTTATACTGGCAAAGAAGTATTATTTACAATTAATCACTGTTTCATATTAATTTAAATTGGGACGTAAAATTTTATTACAAAAAACATAATGATTTTACTATTTTAAAACAATTAAAACGTTTATAATAAATATTATATAATATTCATAATATAATTTCGGAAACAGATTTACATATAATCCCCAAATTATAATATCCTGTGGTTTGACAAATAGTTTCTATTAATATTACTTACCTTAGCATCTTCAATTCTATTCATTATTTTCTTGATATCTAATGGTTTCTTAATGACATCATAGTAATCAGGCAGTTCTCGCCGCGAAGGAAGTTTCATAAAGGGCTCAGACAACACGCGACCCCCACTGTTTAATTACAAATAATAAAATGTATTAATAATTTAGAAAAAATTAAGTTAAATAATGTGTATTTATTAATATTTTGGCTAATAAATGTAGTTCATTGTAATCTGTACTAAAAAAAATAAATTGTAAATATAAGCTTCACATGCTACAATAACCAACTTACTCATCAGTGTAATCGATGACTTTCTTCATAATATTTTTTAAACGTTTCTTCTGTTGATTGATTTCTGTTTTGCTTTTTTTCTTTGATGAACAAGGGACTTCTTCTTCATCTGATTCGTCTTGATTGCGACTATAAAACAAATAATCAAATAAGTACGAATACACACAATAGCTAAAAATATTACATAAAAAAAATAGATAAATACAGCTATATTAACTTTGATTTCCCTCCGATTTATAAGTACACATTTCGTCAAGACCATTACTTAACATACAGTATTATTACGGGGCTTACAAATAAATACATAGATATTCAAAATCAATATGAGCCTATTTTAGACTGTACAGATTTATTTTAGGCATAGTGAAGAAATTAATTATTAGTTATGTACCGTCGCTTGCGACCCTTCTTTCGCCTCTTATCCAATACTTCGTCGTCGTCCTCCTCTTCCTCCTCATCCTCAAACTCATCATCAATGGCCTTGAGCCACTCTTTCTCAGTAAGAGAGTCTGTATAGTCCACCTCTTTGCGCTGTCGCGAGCCACGACCCAGCGTCTCGTCCTCGTCCAAGTAGTTCCATCCTTGACCCTGTTGGATTTTTTAAAAGAATTTACAAACTAATCTTTAAATTCTTCCGTGAGGTGAGACTACCTTCAACTATATATACTTCGTGAGTTCGCACCGAAATAATTCCTTTTTTTTTTGGACTACTGTGCTAGCCTTTACAGCTTCACCGGACGTTAGGCGACTCACTCAGAGCATGACCTATTCTGGTTTACAGACGGGTTGATGTAGGATGTGGAATATGTGGTGTAAAACCCAAAATCTGCAACTATATAGGCTTAGGAAAATACGCCTCAATCTTTCAGGCAGAGACTTACGCCTTAATTAGATGTCTGGAAGTAATCCTAAGCCTCAACTACATCAATCAGAACATATACATTTATTCGGACAGTCAAGCTGCTCTACTAGCACTTAACTCGTACGAAATCCGTTCTAAACTTATTAGAAACTGTATCCTGCTACTAAATGAAGTAGGAAGCAGAAATAATATTATACTGAGATGGGTCCCCGGGCATTCAAATATTGAAGGCAATGAGAATGCCGACCATCTGGCAAAGTTAGGGGCAAAAACCGTCCAACTGGGCCCCGAACCCTTCTGTGGTGTGCCTCGTTGCCTAAAACTGGGACATCTCAAATTAATAACCAAACGAGAAGCACTGAATCACTGGTAAGAAATGCCAGGATTAATACATTCAAAAGACCTAATATCGGGCTTCTCGACCAAATACTCCAATAGATTACTGCTATTGAGTAAAAGCAACATATGCATGATGACTAGGGCCCTCACAGGACACTGCAAATTGAACAAGCATATGGCTAAGCTAGGCCTATGCACGACAAGTATCTGCAGATTCTGCCAAACTGAAGAGGAAACGCCGCTTCACATCCTATGTGGTTGTAGCCCACTCATGCATAAACGAAATATCTCCTTTGGAAAGTTTACACTCTTTCCCGGGGAGATAAAAACGATCGCTCCTAAGAATATCCTTCAATTCTTGTCCCTGACGGGTCTAGGTAGCGAACTCTGAAAAGGGCGAGCACAATAGATCTATGTAGGTCGCAGTGCTACAGGTGCTACACATCTGACAATAGCTCAAACAACCCAATAAAAAAAAAAAAAAATAGGGGGCGAGTGCAGATGGCACTCCAAACTCGCGGAAGGACTTATGGAGCGGCTGAAGGCCAGCTCCTGCCTGACGGATACGACTTTAGTCTGAGGGCACCACTAGGAGTTCGAACCTCGGCTCATCGCTGTCGTAATTTCGATCCTCGTTTGAATTGGCTGGGGGATCGATCGGAGGGGAATAACGGTTCCTACTGTGTCAGGGTCTGTAATGATGTAAGTGACCGGTCAGGAATACTTTGCATTTTTTTATGAATATCTCTATAAATAAATACTTATTAATAAAAAAATAAGTCCTTTATCTATAATTAACCACAGTTAATTAGTACGACGATCGTCAATAAGAAAATCGTCTGATAATAAAGAAATTTATTGATTTTATATATTCAGAACACAAGTTTATCACACATCTACTCTATATTCTTTAAAATTACCGATCAGTAGTCTATTACAGTCATCCACAATATAATTGGAACTATACTACAAGGAAACAAATATACCTCTTGTACATACTAATATTGACTTAACTCGTATGTATTACGAATACCAATACGCCGCACTCCATGCAACTGTACTAATGGCATTGTGGTGATATGTACATTAATGTATCTATGTAATATATTTATACTATTACATTAATATTAAGGCTTTTTATATACCTAATAAAAGTAACTTCCCCCGCGACAATTTGAGTAGTAGATACGTAAAGAATATGCAGATTTTAAACTAGCATAAAGTGCATTCAAACTCATCCTTCCAGTTCCCAAACTTGTCTTTGGTAATTGTACTAAAGTTAGTTACAAAGCAACCACGAATACACAAACCTTATTACAGACGACTTCATCGTCGTTCTTTACGAGCCAGTCCGGTAACTCTGACTCCTCAATGAGTCTCGATTGCGTCTCGGTTTTCTTACGTTCCAAATCGATTTGCTTGAAGATCTCAAGTTCTTCCTCTGATCTCGCTACCATTTCATTGATCAAATCGTCATCGGGGACTTCATTCTCCTCCTGTTATGTATGTTATGTAGATTTATAAAGAAAGAATATACTCTCTTAGTCAGATATTATGTACTAAATAATAATTCATGGCTATATTCATCTTGGGCCGAACAGAAATTTTAACATCTAGAAATAGAAATAGAAATAGAAATAATCTTTATTCAAATAAACTCATTACAAGCACTTTTGAATAGTCATATTTTGATTCTACCACTCATTCGGAATGCAGATTCATCACAAGAAGAATGAGCAAGAAACTTGTGTGTTGCTCTTTTTGATAGATGTTTTTTTTTATATAAATAATTACAGTGTAACAAGTAAGAGGCATGCGACAATCAACATAGAAATCGCTACGCACTCATTATTAGTGTAATCAGATAATATTGTCAGTGCTATGTATTTAAAATTTTTCTACAAAAACATTATTATCGTTAACGAATTCTTCAATTTTATAGTAAGCTTTTTTGCAAAGGAAGTGTTTTATTTGACATTTAAATCTTTTTTCTGGCAGATTTATAACAGACTCTGGTATTTTATTGTAAAACCTTACGCAATTGCCATAAAACGAATTACTAACTTTAGCCAAACGACATTTAGGTAAAATCAGTTTGTTATTGTTACGTAAGCTTTTATTAGTGCAATCACTAACTCTTTTGAAACTGTCTATATTCTTCCTGGCATACATGATGTTTTCATAAATATATTGAGAAGCAACGGTGAGGATATTTGATTCCTTAAAGCACTCTCGCAAAGACTCCCTGGAACCCATGCTATAAATGGAGCGAATGGCCCTCTTTTGTAAAAAATAAATATTGTATTTATATCAGCTGGTTTGCCCCATAACAAAATACCATACGACATAATGCTATGGAAATAGCTAAAGTACACAAGTTTAAAATTTAAACTCTGATATTTTCTTTCAAATCAAATCAATATACTACAATTGCGAAATTTGATTATTTAGTAAAAGGATTTATTTTATTTACGCAATTACATAACTTAACAAATTAAACAAAAAAGGCCAATACAGAGCCTGTGAACAAACTCACAAGCTATTTAATTAGCATATTTATGTGCAAACCTCCTCATCGTCTCCATCCTGGTGAAGAATACTTTGCAGGAACTGCTGTCGTTCGGAACCTGTCGACTTTTGATCGAACATTCCAGCTTGGATAACTTTCTCGTCCATGTTCAACTTATACCTATATTATAAAGAATATATTGGAAAAATGTATCTTTTGCAGGAGCTCACTTGTCACTCTTTTATTACTGTTCATAGAAATTTTTTAAGTTAAAAACAGACAACATTGATTATTGTCAAACTTTGCAAAATACTTTTTCCAAATTTTTAAACAGTGAAAAACTATTAAACAATGAAAAGTATAGAATATAGAATTTTTGTTTTTCGGACTACTCTAATGCTGTTAGCCGCAACTGGCCTTTACAGTTTCACCGGACGTTAGGGGGCGAGTGCAGATGGCACTCCAAATATTAGATATTTTGAATTTGAATTGAATTTGAATTTGACTTATGGAGCGGCTGAAGGCCAACTCCTGCCTAACGGATACTACTTTAGTCTGAGGGCACTACTAGGGGTTCGAACCTCGGCTCAGGCCGTCGTAATTTCGATACCCGTTTGAATTGGACGGGGGATCGATCGGACGGGGCTTAGAATATAGAGGCACAACATCTTACTACTCAAGAATGGGACCACATAAGAAGTAACATAACGTCACAGTATTCTATGTGAAATCCTTGCTAATGTATTCAGGCGTCAAATTTTTATATTCTAATTTTATTTTTTTCCCTACCGTCCAGTTCGGTATATAGATCCAATTGTGAAGAATTGGCAAGAAACTCAATTGAATTACTTTTTTTTTAAATCCCAGTTTATTTACAATGTATATTTATTTAGGTGTCTACTGTCTATGTCTAACATTAAATGAAAATTCAGTGCATGAACAACTATTGCCATGCACACTCGTCATTCAAGTAATCGTTTGTGAGTAATAGGCTTTCTAATATTCCACTTCCAATTTAATATAAAAAGCTATTGTACCTGGCGGCAGCAAGAATTCTTTCTTCAACAGAGTTGACAGTCATCAGCCTTAGTACGCGTACTTCATTCCGCTGTCCGATACGATGCGCACGATCTTGGGCTTGGAGATCCTGAGAACATATAGAAGGGCCACATATAGATTGAAATTATTATATTCCTTTTGTAAAATATATTCAAATGTTAAAAATAATATTAAATCAAGAAATAATATCGCAGCTCGTATGAGTACTACAGGATTCACAGTAGGTATATCTTATACCGTCCGTGGTACTGTTCTTGTTTATAAGCGACCGTTGCCACCTCAAACAAATGAAATATCGTGTTTAGTGACCTGTGGTGTACAACATCTGATTTAAATGTTTATCTCCTTATTTAAAAAAACACTAATCTTCTATTACAAAGTCAATTTATATCAAATACTACTGTTATGGCCTTGTGCTTTACAAGGCCATAACAATGCAATAGACAAAATAAAGGTTTATTATACAACGTATGTTTCAATAAATAGTAATTAGTGTAAGTTATATTATTGTATTTAATGTATTAGAAATATTTGAGTATAATAGATAGATAGATAGATATAATAGATTACTATGGAAGAGTTAAAACATTACCTGATGCGGATTCCAGTCGGAGTCAAATATAATGACGGTGTCGGCGCTCTGCAAGTTGAGACCGAGCCCACCGGCGCGGGTTGACAACAAGAATAGGAAGTAGTCCGAATTAGCATCGTTGAATTTTTTTAGTAGTTCTCCACGGTCCTCGGCCTTGGTCATACCGTCCAATCTAAATAAAAGAAAATAAAATCTCAAACATGTAACACAATTTAGGTAAACTGTGAAAACAACTTTTTTAATGTAACCTTGCAAGCAAGCTGCCAGTAATTTAAGAGTAACTAACTATAATAAGCAACACTGCCAGCTTGGAATACAGCTTACACTACTCACTGGTAACATAGCTTTTTATAAATGAAAGAACAAATTGGTTAAGGCTTTTTTGATCGTTGAATTTTTCTTGTCTACATAATATTAGCATGGATACTAGCCATTTAGTTTATTATATACTCTTTATTGCACTTGTAACTTTAAATTAATATTAAAAAGTATGTGAGCAAGAGTTGTCGTGTGTAATTTTAAATAGAAACTTACCTCAAGTATTGGAAACCTCTCCAGGAGAGATAGTCCTCAATGATGGTCATGCATTGGGTCATTTGACAAAACACCAGCACCCTATGTCCAGTCCTCTTTAGTTTGGGCAGAATACGATCCAATAGTTCGAATTTTCCAGAAACTCGGTACAAGTCGGGTCTATATGAAATAATGTAGGTAAGTAATAATTGTAAGTTACAAAAATTCCACAGTATATGAAGTAGTGGAGAATTTCAATATGTCGAGAACATTTAATTGGAGTCGATCATAATATCTATACGCTTTTCCCGTTCAAATCAAACAGGGACCAAAATTACGTCGGCCTGAGCCAAAGTTCGAACCCCTAGAGGTGGTCTCAGACTAAAGTTGTATCCATCAGGTGGCTAAAAGCCGACTCCCGGTTGTCCTTCCGCGGATTTACAGTGCCATATGCACTCGTCCGCTATGGTGCACTGAAGCTGTAAAGGCCAGTTGCTGCCACCATCATTAGAATAGTTCGAAAAAAAAACCCGTATGATCATTAATATGACTTGAATTGTTCCAACAATCCCTTTTCATTTATATATAATATCTATCATATTGTCCATATATTTTTATTTCGATCATTTTCTCCCTACACAAATTTTAATCAAAACAATGTTGTTACGAATTAAATTTGTATAATAATAATTTATATAATAATAATGTGGGTGGTGTGAAATATTTTAAGATTGATCAATTACTGTGAGTTTTATCTAATACAATTTTCACTATTATTTCAAGTATTTCTTACAGATGTATAATGTATGCATATAGTTATTCGACTGCCCTCTAATACACTATATACCCATGAGAAGCAGGGGCGGGTAGTTAGTATATAATAAATTTCTTTACTTACCCGGTAACGACACTGCCGCCAGAGCCGACGTGGTCACAGAATTTCTCCTCAATGTGTTGGAACATAAACGGGTGGTTGCAAAGTTTTCGTAGTTGCACAATCGTGTTCATGAGAGCCTTGGCGCCGCCCTTGCCTTTATTACCCTTTTCTGAGCCATCTGTTAGAAGTACACCCTTCGACTGCATGTGTCTAAGAAATAGTTAATTATAATTATTCTTCATGATAACATAAACAATTAATTAAATAGACTCAACTTGAACAACGACTTAATTAAATTTATTCGGCTATTTAATTAAGAAGAAAGTGAAATCAACCGTAATAATTTATTTGGGTTGATTACAATTTCTTTTTAAATGTATTGATAATTAAATGTATGAGTATATTATATATAGTTACAGTTTAATATAGCTAACATTGTTCTTTCATTAAAATATATATATGTTATAAGTCGTTGTGTGCAATTTCAACCATTAATAACAATAAGTACTAATAGACAAATCAAGTCAAGTTGTACTATGGGTATTAGACAATAGATAGACATAACATATATTTACATACTTTTGTAAATACATAGGAAAACTTGGAAGTTTAACAGTTAGTACACACAAAAATATAGTAATGGAACCTACGACCATCAGTAAGTAAGACAATGTATTAAACTCCTAAACCACCGAGTCCTCTTTGCTAAATATATTCTAAAACATACTTGTATAGAACCCGCTGGAGGCCGCTCATGTCACATTTGATGATGTATTCAACTTTGTCAGGCAGTTGGCTCTCCACTTCCTTCTTCAATCGTCGCAACAAGAATGGACGCAGCACTTTGTGCAGACGACGAATAATAAGGATTGTTTCTTCTTCATTCAACTCCACCTATGCGAATATTTTATTTTATACCGTATTATACAACTTACATATGTCATGAAAACCTTAATGTTGGTCACTGCTTACAACACCTGTCCTTATAATCGTACCCTTCATTTCATAAATAGCAAAATCTCTCTGTTTTTATATTATGGCTTGACACTAACAAAGCTATATCATTTTGCCGTACCAGCAATTAACACTACTTTTTGAAATGTCATGCAGTTTTCTTGTGACCCTATATTTATAAATAAAATTTGCCAATTCCATATAAAGATTAAGGATCTCCCAACTAACAAAACTAAAAGAGACTATGAATGTGGTTAGTCAATATGTACTTTAATGACACAGAGTTCATTTTAACTGACTCCAGAAACATTAAATTTGGGTCAAAACATTGAAAATAGAAAAATCCATATTTCCATGCAATCAAAATCTAAAGATATAGTTAGCTTACCTTTTCACCGGTGGTAGCAAAAGGAGCATTGAACCACTGTTCGAAAGTAGAACAGCTTTTAAAGATGGAAGGTAGCAGGAAGTTGAGGAGCGCCCACAGTTCGGGGAGTTTATTTTGCAGCGGTGTGCCGGTGAGGAGCAGCCGGTGCGGTGCCACGTAATGCGTGTTCAGCACCTGTGTCAGCTTACAGTGGTGGTTCTTCATACGGTGACCCTCGTCTATTATCATATACTTCCATTGCACCTGTTCAAACAAATTTTACCAACACTGATTTGGAGTTAACATTTATAATTATTAAATTACATTTCTGTCATTCTTTATTACTCTAAAAATTTGTAGGCAAAGCTTTTGTAGTTTATAAAAACATCACATAATTAATGATATTTATTAATAGAGCTGTTTTGAATATGTACTATTAGGAGATTTTAAAACAATTATATTTATTTACAAAGCTTTCTGCTATTATTAGTAGGTATAACATATGTGTATAACCAACAACTCTTACACACTTCATCTAACACTCCTAAATTAGTTATCTTATAATGAAAATACAGTTTTATTTTTTTCATAATACATAATTATATAGTTACTTAAGTACACAATATTAAATTTAAATAATTTACAAGATTTATAAATATGATTGTTCCTTATAAACGGTTCTATAACAAATAAATGTAACAATTAAAAACTAAAACCAAAAAATTGAGTTGTATATCACCTTAGCCAAGACTCCCTTATCTTTGATAACGTATTCGTAGGTGGTGAGGAGAACGTTGAACTTGGTGGAGCGCATCTGTGTCTGTACCAGCCGTCGGGAATGAGGCGAACCTTTGTAAGACACCACCGTTACCGTCGGCGCCCACTTTTCGAACTCTAGTACCCAATTGGATAACGTACTGGAAGACAATAAAGATATTATTAGGGATAGAGAAATACGATAATGAGAAGACAAGTGTGACTCTACGAAACAATAAGATGGTTAACCCTGAGCAGCAAAAATGCAGCCATAAACTGCGATTGAAAAACAGGCACAATAATTTTGAAAATAGCACAGTTTTAACTGTTCAGGTACAATTTCTTTTATACCTCAATGGTAGAAGGTTGCCTACTGACGTCTGCAACGCCATTAAATCTATAGTCTCGTTAGAAAATAAATGACATAAAAATATACTAAATTATTTACAAAGGCCATGTTTATTTTATTGTAAAACTTACCTTAGAGGCACAATAATTAAGAACGGCCCATTAACTTTCTTTTTCTCCATGAGATAGGTGACCAATGCAATTGTCTGGATGGTTTTGCCAAGACCCATCTCATCTGCCAGGATACCATTCAAGTTGTTGTTAAAAAGCGATACCAGCCACTCTAAACCCTAAAAAGTAAAATTTAATCTGATATCTGAGAAACTATAATATAAGGCACTTGTCTTTTAAAGTCCAAGATTTTAATTAAATAATATAGTACAAAGACTCGACTTATTTAAATTTGTAGTATTGTATGGTTCATTCTGACATACAATTGAAAAAAGGATGAGATAAAAACATTACCTACTTGTATATAGACATAAGGTATAGTAACACAAACGTTAAGTTGAGTATGGTGTCGACAGACAGAGATTGTATAATAATAATACTACATTCATAAAAGTACACTCAAAAAGAGTAAATTACGATTTGTAAGACCTCACCTTTATTTGGTATTCCTTTAGCTTTCCGTTCACTAAAATGTTAGCTTGTTCTGTGACAGACTCGTGGACCGTGTGAGCAATGCTAAACAAGACAACCAATACATATAATTATATATAACATTAACCGATCACAATTTGATATGCAAAATTAAACAAGTTTATTTTTTGAAAATATGAAACTTAGGCTAGCCTTTAAGTTTTGCTTTTATTAAGTACTAATATGTGTTATATAACAAAGATACAAGAAATTATAGTTGATTGTGCTTCAAGATATAACAGATAGGAGACCTGCAATAAATATATGGTCAAGTAAATAAAAAATATACTTTACATACCTGTAGTACGTTTGTTCTTCAGTTTTGTACTCATCGTCTTCAACCTTGGCCTTTTTGATCATGTCGCGTGCTTTCTCTTCGTCAGTTTTTTCTTTGTCAGTCCTCTCATCTTTATGTTTTTCCCTTCTCTCTCTCCTTTCTGTGAAAATTCATATAATTTTTATATTAATTAATTATAAAAAATAAATTAATTTTGACGCGTTAATACTATAGATTAATACAAAATATAAGTAAGTACGATATACTCTTTAAGAATGATATTTTGAAACGTAAATAAAATTACGAGAGAATATATTAGTCAAATATAAACAAGAACATATGTAGTAGTAACTATTGTGTAGAACTACACACCATCGTCATCTTGGCTATCATCGCCGGAATCCTCCGAATCCGAGAGTACTTCCCAACCTGGATGCGTTTCCATCCAGTCCTTCAGCTGAGACAATAGCGGAGCCTCTTCGCCTTTTAAAATCTGTCAATTGTAAATAATGTATATAGACCAACTATATATGTGGTGTTTTTCGGTTCATAACTCACTTGTTATTTGAAAAGCCCACTTTGTGGTAAACGACGATCTTATCAATGGTTTTTAAAATATATCATAAATAAACTGTTTTACTGTAGGACTACTAATTATTAGCCTATTAATAAAAATAACTTTCTCTTCTTCCTACAACCCTAAAGACAGATTTCCCACAACCCCTACTAACAGTTTGTACCTATATATCACACAGTTAACAGCTAATGGAATAAAAATATTATAACTGTGAATAAGTTAAGGTTCTTTATGACAAAATACATTACCTCGCCCGTCTTTGGATCCATCACACTGACTCTAGAGTCTGAAGTTTGTGAGCTGTCATCCAAAGCGTCGATCTCTCCGCCTTCCAAAAGCTTCCTCTTCCGGGATTTCTGTGTTAAAATAAAGTTTATTAACGCCTACAGTAATATTAACACAAATATTATAAAAAAGAGAACGAATTTTGTGTCTGTGTTTGGTCATCTTCGGAACTAAAAGAATATATTTTTTACGATAGAAAATATCACTGTTCAAACCAGGCGAGGCATCACCACTGGTTAGTGAAGTAAACTTGACCATGAAGCGCACACACATACGATTTCAAATTGTATCACATATACATCTAACACATTCTCCAATATCATAAAAAAATGCTATAACAACAAATAACCATTTTTCAATTACTAACCCTCTTCCTGCGTTCTTCCTCTTGCTGCTTTTTGCGCTGCTCCTGTTTGTGTTGTTTGACCATCTCGGTGAGACTCGCGATATACTCGTCCGTTTGTGACAGCAGGAATGCGAGACGCTTGTCTTTTTTCTGATCAATCAACTTACGGTAACCTTCCTCATCCTCAGCCATTAAACTGAACAATAAAAATTGAAAAATTAATGAGAAGACCTAGCCTTTATGTATTATGCCAAAACAAGACTTACCGCCGCATACGCTCTTTTTCAATGCGCTCTTGTTCTTTCTTTTGCTCACGTTCAGCATTCGCATGGTAATTCATAATCGATTTGTTAATACGAGCTGTCTTCGCTACATTATTGCGATGATACTCCTTGAAGTCCTTGGCTAAAACAATTTGAACACACATTAATAAATTGGTACATTTAAGTATGTCTAATTGCTTATAATATAATATTCATATATATGTCCAAGTTTAGGTATCGTAAATGGTGAATGTCTTACATAAATAAAAATATCCAAGCATACTGATTTGAAAAATGATAACAGAAGAATGACCAAATAATAAGTTAAATATAGCAAGGCCAATAACATTAAATTCTAAAATTAGTAAAATATTGTTTTATCTCAAAATAACAAATATATTAGGAACCATTATTAATTTAATATAACAAGTATGTTACCATGTTGTAAAACGGTTTGAAGGAACTCTTGATGTTTCTGACGGCGTTTTCTCTCAGCTTCTAGTTTCTGTTGCTTCTCAAGCTTTTCAGTTGCACGTGCCTCCCGCAATCCTTGACGCTTGGTTCGTTTGTATGCTTTAATATTTACTGCCGTCTCCAGCGTTGTGTCGCGACGAACTTGACCCAATATCTAATGCAAAAAGTATATAAATTAATTAAAATATAAAGAAAAACATCCATTCTAAGTAGGTATTGTAAAACAAAACATACCTCGGCACGCAATTGCTTTTGGAAATTAAGAACGCGTAAAGCTCTAAGTTCAATTTGTGCTTGTAGCCGAAGGTCGTCAGAGATATTGGCTGGCAAATTGGATAACACTTCCATACGATGAGCGATACGGGCAGCAATTCTATTATAAAAAAAATTGTTAAGACAATGAAGGTACTATTTCATTTTATTCTGACAATATTATTTGATTACACTCTTACTTTGTATGAATTGCATTGAAGATTTATAAAATGTTTAACCTGGTATTATTATACATTAATCAATCAATCAAAATCTATGTGAAAATATTAGTAAGGTTGATGTTACGAAAATGTTACAAAAGCAGTTTATAAGAGTGAATTATAAACACAAAAGGAATATTTTTATTAATTGAAAGAAATACATTAGAACTATTTACTACTTGCCTGTTTTCTCTTTCGTTTAATATTTGTAGTGGGTCTATACCAACTGGTTTAGGTATGCTCGTCACACGATTTTGTTTAGGGCCCGGAATAGGAACGCCAGGCTGCAAAAATTGCATTATTAGTAACAATGTTTTTATTATTAATTTAACACTAATTACATGTATAAATATATAATACCTGCTGTTGCTGATTCGGTTGCGCAGGAGCTCCAGGTCCCGGAGGACGTAGCGGCGCAGGCCCGCGCAGTGGTGGCCCACCGCCCATTGGCTGTAGCGAAACATAATACAAAGTGTGCATGAATTAATTGTGGGGGCAAGGAGACATAAAATGGTGATGTTGTCCGGCTAAATAGTGCGGAATATAGCAGCGTAGTTACTAAAGGTACAATATTCTAGTTTTCAGAAATATATATGGCAACATATAAATATCATAGGCGTCTTCTATAATGTATCTGATGGAATTAATTTAATAGTACTGAATTAATTAATACTGTTCGTTTAAAGACTACTACTCATTATTACATTCTTTGGGGTTCACTAATTAGAGTTTATCAGTAGTTCCAGTTCAGGGGCACTGCATGCACGTGTACGAATCAATAAATAATTAGTGAATTAATTCAAATTAGTACCGGATTGACAAGCGGTGGTGTAGGCTGTGTCGGCGGTGCCATCTGGCCGGTCATGGGCAGCGGTGTGGGCGGGGCTCCGCCTCCGCCGCGCGCGTCTCCCGCGCCGCCGCCCGCCTTGCCGCCCGCGCTCGACGTCGGCGGCGGGCCCTGGCCCTCTCCGTACGGAGGCTGCGATGGCGGCGTGGGGCACTCTGGGGGTGCCACGCCGGGCCGCTTGCCGGCAGCCATCATTGCGGTTTCTTGGGGGATAGGCTGATTGCGAGCCAAGTTACGGTACGCAGTTATTTGAGCCCTAGAGATAAGAAAAAATAAAAGAATTCAATTTCAAAATATCATAGTATATACACACTTGTTTTAGTATGTAATACTTACTTAAGTTGACAGAGTTGGTTATTAGAAAATAGCCCCTTATTTGGATCCTGAGGATTGGAACGTGCTCGCAGTGCGAGCAGTTGGGAGTATCTGGGGTCTTCTTGGAGCCCCTTTTCCTCCATGGAATCTATGGCTCTCTGCAAGGCGTTTAAATTATCAGGCCCCGGTGCCGGCAAGGAACCCTGCATCGGTGATGAGTTGGGTGGACCACCATTAGCGGATGAAGTAGCCGCAGGTAGAACTTGTCCATGCGGCGGAGTTTGTGCAGCTGGTGGATGCTGCTGTGCTCCGGGTTGTGGCTGTCCCGGTGTCGGTTGACCGGGAGGCGGGGCTGAAGCTCCTGGCGCAGGCGGGGCATGGCCGTAGGCTGGCCCGGGTCCATGTGGCGGTGGACCTTGGCCCGGCATCATAGCATGATGTGGTGGCAAATGGGATGGAGCGTTGGGTGGCATTCCTTGAGGATGAACACCATGTGGCGGCGGGCCCGACAGCGGCAATGGACCTCCGGGAGGTCCTGGTGGCCCATTTCCTGGAGGTGGTGGTCCACCTCCCATGGGTAAAGGTGCCTAGTAATTAAATAATTTCGTTAGTTTACACATCTATATTTCTCTAATTTAAATATTATGAATGTCTGTTTTACTGTACTGCATTTGTTGCGAGTACTGAATGGAAGTTTTTGATAACACTTGCATGTCGCCGATCAAGAAGATAATTTATATATGTATGTATTTCTATTCTGTACTCGCAACATATGCAGTTCAAATTACAATCAAACAATCAATCACTATTTTAATCATCACAATGATGATTTCACATAAGAACCCCTTATCACTACTCATGAAATATTAAAATTACTAGCTACACACCCAGGCTTCGCACGGTTATACATGTATCATACATATAAACGTGCCTCTTGAATCACTCTATCAATTAAAAAAAGCTTCAAAATCCGTTGCGTAATATTAAAGATTTAAGTATACATAGGGACAGACAGCGACAGTTTCTGTTTTGTACCATAGTAATGATAATAATAATAATTTTTAATTTAATGACAGGTAAGTGAAGAGTTTCTCAGCATGTACCCAAACATATACTGTTTGTAACTTTACTCTCGATTTGTTTAATTGAGTCATAGCCACATTGAAATTGAATTGATAATGACACCAATGATGCGTACATCTGTGTTCTTTTCCTTCATATTGTTTAACTTGATCCTAATCTTATCTGATAATAATGTGTCCTACTCACTGTACAAAATCGCTGCTTTTAATTCACATGAGAGAGCAGTATTGTATCAAGTACAAATAAAAAATGAATCAGTAATATTCCTTAATGGGGTAACAAATGATGCCTCCATTGCCATGGATGTAATTGTGAATGACTGCTGTACACATTTATTTAAGAAAACACTTGAAGATAATGATATTGAACATTACTTGGTCAAGACTATTTATCTGTTAGTAATAAAAAAAATCCTTGTATATGAAATTAATATGAATATTGAGACCATCCAATTTTCAGATCAGAACAAGCAAAGGAAAATACAAATTTCAATAATAGTCATAGTCATCATATTAATAATGTATTTTGTAATTGGGATAATATATTATTAAGGATTGAAAAAATGTTGAGAATATACCCAATTTTAAAAAAGGTTGTAATCACAAATACATATGAGAAAAGAGAAATAATTGTATTAACAATATCAAAAGGGTACAAAAAACCAGCTATTTTCATAGTGAGTGGTGAACAAGGCAGTGACAGGTTGTCCCCAGGAATTTTATTGAATTTCATAGGCGGTATTTTAGAAAAAAAATATCATTTAGAAAAAATATTCGATTTTTATAACTTCTATTTTCTACCAATTTTAAATCCAGATGGTTATTCACACAGTATGATGAAAGATGTAAGTTTTTTTTATATATATTATTATATTAATTTTTTTAGAGGCCATCCATAAATTCTCATTAAAATAGAATGACTTTTTTACTTATTCTAGAGGTTTTGGGCTAAAAACAGGAGGATATTCTATCCACAAAAAACTTGCAAGCATGAAATGGATGAATCACAAGACACAGCAATAGGTGTCAATATTGATAGAAATTGGTTTCTCTCAGAGTCAATATATTGTTAGTATCAGAATATGTAATTGTACTGTAGTTTATCATACTCTTGGCCCAATCTATGATATTCTAACTAGAGCAACTTGAGAATAAAAAATATTATCGGCTTAAACAAGCTTAAATCTTATAATGATGATGATGATCCTTTAGATCAATTGTACATTCCAAAATTATGTTTATATTTTTTATACTGTGTAGTTCGACTTTATTGAAAAAACTAATAATAGTAACTTGTATAAAAAGAAAAAAACATATAAAGAGCATAATTTTTTTTACTATATTTATTGTGTAACATTGTATATATATGTACTCATCTTATTCCCACCATTGTATGTTATATATAGCTATTATGAATAATACCTTTATAAATAATTGGGCTCATTGTAAATATACCATTACATTCCAGTAGAATGTTGTAATTTCAGCTCGCGAAAAAGAATGTGACTCCATATATCTTGGTCCTCAATCGCTTTCAGAAGAAGAAACTAGGGGTCTTTCTATGTTTCTAAACAGTATGGCTACAAATCTGATGGCGTACATCACCTTGAAAGGATTTGGTAACAGATTAATTTCCATCCCTTATGGATCCAAAATGAAATGTTCTAGTAACAAACATGTGATGGTAAGGCTAATTTGAACAGGATTCATTTGGCTCCATGAAAATAACCCTTTAATTAAAAATACTAAAATCCTGTATCCAATTGGTGCTGATATGTAGACAAATACTTTTAATAGTTTAGTAGTTTTTAATTTAATAAAATATTGTAACATATGTTATCTTTATATGCAAAAAAGAAATCTAATATATTTTCTTACAGTTAGAAATAATAAGATCTGCATGCAACCAAGTCTATCTACAATATAATACGACATATTATTATGGAAGTACATCAAGTTATTTATGTATGTATACATTTACAGTACTATATCATATTGAATCTCATATGTACATGTGAGGTTCTGCAAAATTCGGGGTTCCATGTATGATTTAGCTGACTAAGAGAGGACGGTGGGAGTGGTCACTTATTAAAAATTGTATAAGTAATTGATAAGTTAGTTACTTGTGCATTCAATATACCTAATAGGTGTATAGTTTATTAAAATATTATATAAAATTGTGTTTTAAAAGAAGGCATGTAAATCAAAACATGGTGATAACATACAAATTTTTAAGCAAATTAGTAGTATAACATTATTAAAAACTCAAGACTACATAAATATTAAATGAGAATGTCTGTCTATTAAATTGTAACAATATATATATAAAAGTTTTCTTTGTTAAAGATAAAAAAATAGTTTTTTATTTGCATGTGTGTATAGCTATCTCAAAAGCAGTATATACCTATTTGAATGAGGTTTTACTGATATTATATCCTGTAGTATCCTGTAACATTTAATCTTTCTTTTAGTATAATTGGTTCACAACCAGAAAAAAATAACTGTTAGCCTATTGTTATTCCACAAAACACAAGTAAGAAATCATGGGTACAGATAGTGTCCATAATATCATCATTACATTATTATGACTTTTTATTATTTGTAAAAACTAAATTAGTGGTCAGATTTATGCATTACTTAATAAAATAAGACTATAAAATATATATGAATATTAATAGAGATGTCAGGACAATAAAATAAAAAATAAGTCTATATACTTAGTTATGAAAATATAAACCAACTGCAATTACCGAACAGAATAGAGTATATAACAAATACTTAAATATTTTTTTTTCAAAGTAACCATTGTGTAATTAATATTTTGAACAGACAATGTTTCAGGAAACAGTTGTGACTGGGTAAAAAAGAATCTCAATATTCCTGTGGTGTACACAGTGCACATGAACTGCGAAGGAGATCTTTTCCCGCAGCCTAAACACATAGAATCTCTCAGTGCACAGCTGGGAACTATTATAAAAGATACTATGATGATCGCTAAAGATATCTACGGCCCATTGTTTAATAACCAAGAACATATAAACATTAGTATTTCAGTTGTAAAACTTTTTATATCAATAAATTTATACTTATTTTATTACTTGCAAGTTATTCCACTTATAAATAACTAACATTTAATGTCAATTTAAAAAAATATATCTTTACCTGACCAGGAGGCATGTGTCCAATTTGATGTTGCATATATCCATGTGGTCCTTGTCCAGGCATATTTGGATGTGGTGGATTCCCAGGCATATTAGGGTGGCCATTAGGGCCTGGAGGATGGGCGCCTCCTGGACCTATAGGGTGACCAGGTGGGCCAGGTATGTGAGGACCAACCATATGTGGAGGTATTTGGTGGCCACTAGGTGGCATACCAGGATGTTGTTGATGAGGTACACCAGGCGGACCGTTCGTATTTGGTCCAATGGAATGCGCAGGGGGCCCCGATGGTGACATATGATTAGGCATTGGCGCCGGTGTGTGCGATGGAGGAGGTCCGTTGACATGTTGTTGATTGTACGGACTGTGTGGTGACTGTGGAGGCGCCGGACTTTGCGTTGGAGGGCCCATTGGACTCGGTGCTTGTGGAGGCGGCATTGGACTACTCTGAGGTGATGGACTAGCCATAATTAAATCGGATTTTTAGTTCATATCATAAAATGAAACACTGGTTGAATAATTTGTTACATATCGGAAGTATTTGAATTATGGTCTTCAGCTGTATGGCAACATGTATTTAACTATTTAAAAAATGAACAAAACAATAATGTCACTTAATATTTATAAAATAGAGACAAATAGATAATAAGAAAATTTCTAAAACTGTAAAATGTAGAATGTACGCTATTATACATCAGAACACAGATTACAGAGACAGAACCGTAGGCGTACTCTGTGCAATAAGAGCGTCAGCAGGCATTATAATATGGATGTTCTGTGGTCAACAGAGACGCTCATTGAATGTTATATTAGTGTTATAAAAATGTAAATTGACACTCTTTATTTATTAATAAAATAAGATTATACAAATATATATTGTTGTCGATGTATAACATGTATATTTTTTAATCACATCGTTAATTTTCTTAAAATGTACATTTTTATTTTCTCATAATCGGAGATTACTCCGAATATGCAGTCACACGCTTTATCTCTATTCTATTATTATTATATCACTCACATATAATACTTGAGGAATAATTTTATTTGTCGGAAATGGAATTTTTTTTGTTTCTTTGGCAAGAGGCAAGTGTTGACTATTATGCCACTAAAAACAGGAAACGAGACGGCATAATGGAAAGGAACGGGTTAAATTTTGAATATACTCGGAATTAGTGATCATGGGTTTTAAAGTTTAATGTTATTATGGGAAATAAAAGACGCAAGAGATTTATAAATTATAGGACTAGGATGAGCTAATAGGCATACAATGGATGAAGGAAAAGGAATTTCTAATGAAATGAGTGTCTCTATAAATGAAGAATGATCGTAAGAGGAGCAGGCAAACACAATATGATTTAGATCACCCACATCTTCTCCATATTCACAGATATTATTGTCTTTTATACGTAGTTTTCTTAAATGTTCAGGGCTGCAAACAGGACCAATTCGCATACGAATCAAAACACTAGTTGATCTTTTATCAAGGTGTAATTAAAGATACAATATGTCCTTTGAGACGAATGCTATTCAACATATCTCGGATATAAAAAAATAGAAGATACTGTTTAGAGGATTTGAATGGACATTTAATTATAGCTTGAAGAGCACTTTTAGAGCCCGTAAATATAACATTAGGATTAAAAATTTTAATATATTATACTGCTTTAAAAATTCCATAGCATTCACCAGTAAACACAGAGGTCTCTGGTGGAAATTTAATTTTCTGAATTATATGAAATTGTGTGTGGTAAATTCCTATACCAACATTTCCTGTATGTGTTTCGATGCGTCACAATAAATTTGATGATGGCTTTCCCATTTAGAGTTTACTACTTGATTAAACATTGCATTTACATTAGGATGTTCTTTTTCTATGTTAATATCAAAATGAACGTCAGGGGTAAAATTTAAAGATGGAAATGGAATTGTCACCTGAATTTAAAACTCTGATCTGTGTTCTGTCAAGTGTCAACTTCAAATCATATGTGGACTCATGGCATGGAACGTTGAAGCGGTTGAAGATACATTGCACCTCTTTAGACTAGTATGTTCCTTGCATTGCACGGTTTCAATAAATTAAAGTATTTTGTAACATAACAATTTACTATAGCTTTATATTACATATCATACTCATTATGACAATAAAAATTATTAATTGACAATAAAAATATCTACAGCGAGCAGAGGTGATTGTAATAATGTGTGATGTATACAATTCCATCAGTAGTTGTAAATAACTGAAATAGTTTCGCCTGGTGGTATAATGCCTTCGAAATTTGAAAGAAATAGTGAATTTTATATATGAAACGAATAAAATGATGTTGGGAATATATGATACTTATGAAGAAACAGTGGATACAGAAGATGATGAATATGTTGGCAGTTTATGGACATATACAGTTATCTGTGGGGAACCTACCATATATGAAGGGCTGAGATTTGCTAAAGACTTAATAATAGTTAATATACTTCTTCGTATAATCATACAATTTGTGTCGCTTCCTCATAATGTGCGTCACAGCTTATCTCTAGTTATTGGGAGCTTTCTTCTTTACTATAGTATTGGACCAGCTCTTGTATGGACAGTAGGATTGTCAACTAGTGCCTATATTTTGATAATATTACTATCCTGTGTAACAAAAAAATATAGAGGTTTAATAACTTCACTTTCAGTAATTGCATTTCTGTTAGCATGTGAAATCTATGTCTTAAATCCGAAAATGTGGCAACAAATAAGAGGGGTTCAGATGATTGCAGCAATGAAAATCATATCTGTGGCAATTGAGTTAGACAGGGGCCTTTATAAATGCATGTTAAATCCTGTAGAATTTGGAGGATATGTACTATGTCCTGCTAATTGTATTTTAGGTCCATGGATTTCATTCCAATCTTATAATCAGTATTTAGAAGTAAAGTTTTTAAGTAAGAGGTGGTTAAAAATAATTTTAGTAAATCTTTTCATGTCTTTGTTTTTTTTAGTTTTATCAAACTGTATTGTACCATGGTATATTGATGAAGAAACAACAAAATGGCTTGTAGCATATCGGGATGCTCAAGCCTTTAGAATGTCTCATTATTTTGTATCAAGTATGTCAGTTGTATCAATGATTAGTGCTGGTTTTGGACTTACAAATGACTGTCATTCAGAACTACAAGTGACTAAACCAACTTTTATTGAATTACCAAGATCTTTAGTGCAAGTTGTAATATATTGGAATATGCCAATGCACCAATGGTTGAAAAATTATGTATTTAAAACTTGTCAAGTCTATGGTCAGTTTACAGCTATTCTTGTCACTTATGCAGTTTCATCATTACTTCATGGTTTAAATTTCCAATTATCAGCAGTACTTCTAAGTATTGGAACTTTTTCTTATGTGGAATATAATTTTAGATATAAAGTAGCATCAGCTCTAGAAGTGTGTTGTTTGGCCAACCCTTGTACAAAACAATGTGACCACAAGTACAAAAAAAATAGTTTACTCACTATATTTATTAATACTCTGTTTTCTGTGATAACTATTATTCACCTAGCTTACTTAGGAGTCATGTTTGAAGCATCATTTTCTGTTCAAGAGTCTGGTTATTCATTTTACCACACTATAAGTAAATGGAAGAATCTCAATTACTTCAGTCATGGATTCATAGCATTTATGTATTTAATCTATATAATAATGTGATGAATATATGTTGTAGGCAATATTTTATAACTTAGGTACTTAATTTGTAAAAAGTATAATGTGTCATTAAATTTATCCAATTATTTTATTAGCATTGTGTGATCTCATTTTTATTCAGTATTATTAAAGGCTTCCACAGACATCAGTATTTAGAATATGATTTCGTAACTTACAATGATCCTATAAAAAGCATTGCTTCATTATTATTAATACATTCTGTGATAATATTAATTAAAGTGCATTATATGATTATCTATAAGATATAAGTTCTATAATCCAGTTAGTGTTAAAAGTAGTTTAATATTATTATAGATTATATTTATATAGTTTTATATCTATACTTCACATGTTATAGCTTAGCTTAGTAAGAATAATTAAAACAGGAAATTAATACATAGATGTTTATTCTGATCTTACAGAATATTGAAAAATATCATTCATGAGTTATAATTATACTATAATTCTAGAAAATTCAATCACATTGTTAGCATCATACTAAAAAAAATGGAGTATCATTTACTTCTTAAAATTTACTTAATATAATTATAAGATTTATTAGTAATAGATAAATTGCTATTGACTTTTGGTTCCATGATAATTATGAAAAAAACACTCCTCTATATCTAGCATATTGGCATATTTATTGTTCTAACATCCAATGAATTGTATTATCTAACATAGTAAAGTGTCTTTTTATATTAAATTCAGATGTTACCACAGTGAGATTGTATATACTATTGTCAAATGTTAATTGAATATGGTAATCAACTCCTTCCATGGTAGGGTCAAAATTATATCTTTCAAATTTTTCTGTTGTGTCTTTATTTGAGGTAAAATATTCAGGTCTTGTATAAAGCACTGTTATTTTATAGTCTTTCATAACTTTCCGAATTATTTGGAGTAAATTTCTTAAATACAAATCCATTTTTGTTATTTTGTATCCTTGTTCTGACCAATAAAATGCCGTTAATGTATCAATTATAACCAAAGAAATGTCTGAATGTTCTGTCAAAATATTTTCCAAGTTATACATAGTGGTATAAAATTGAGTAGCATCATAAATTTCTAATATGTGTAAATTACAGATTGTTTCGTTAAACAAACTTTTAAATTGTTCTGTATTATATATTTCTGAGGGTTCATAAGATAAGCAAGAACAAATCTTTTTACGCAGACATTTTATCAAAGCATCATAATTCAAATCTCCGTCAGTATTAAATATTAGAACACTTAGTTGAGAACCGCCTAATCTGATTGGGAGTAATGCCTCACAAATCATATCTATAAGGAGAGTCGACATGCTGATATTGCTTAACATTTCAATTACTTCATTAAACTTTGGTCCAGAATTAAACAGAACTGGATAAAATCCTTCAATTTCTGTTTTTTTTGTTAATCGAGCTAGTAACTGAACACCAGACTCTACTTTAATTTGGTTTCTGTCCATTTTTATTGAAATTCCTAAATTACACGATTTAAACAATTTTTACCATTAATAAAGTTACAAATAAGTGCAGTTGTAAATAAACACGACAGTCGACACCGGAAATATAAACAATTAAACGTCATTGTCAAAATGACATCTCATGCTTTTTTTTCTTTTTTATTGCTCGGTATTTCTGTCTATTTGCCAATATATAATGCTTTGTTAACATTTCCACCATCAAATGGCCGTATAGACAGCGTTCTTTTGCCTCTCCCTGATGAACTAAAAAGAAAACCGACTCAAAAAAAAAAGAAAATTTTCAAAACAAATCTATGTTGTTTTGGGATGTAAAAGAAATTAATTATATAGTATCTCCCTAATCTTTTTATTATTTGTGTATTGTTTTGTAATAATTGTGTTTAATAATAAATAATTTCTATATATTTTTTATTATACAAAGATATCCAATATATCTTGAAATGGCTAACGATAGAGAAGTACTACGTGAGATTTGGGATGGAAAACTGCCCATTTGTTTTCAATTAGATCAAGAAGAACTAATGGAAATTCAACAGCCTGATCCGTTTTATGTTATGGTGCCAAGATTAAGCTACTTTCCTCTCGTTACTGACAAGGTTAGTGATCTATCAATTATTATAGTAGACCCTATTGTGTACAACTCTAATTGATATAGATTTATTGAATTCAGTGGTTCCTAAGGTCATTCCTGATGTGTTAGCTCCACTATCTCTAGTTAAATTGGCAGCAAATTTGTATATTTCATATTTATTATGGCTATATGATATATACCACATATTTCGAAATGTTATTGTATGAATGGGATTTGTAATATTTGTGATAAATTGATACAGATAAATGGATTACTCTATGTAGCTAATATTATATTTAGTTTGATGAATGTATTTCAGATGAAAAGACATTTTCTACGCTTCATTTCCCAAGAGAATGCAGATAATGAAATGTGGCTAGATTACAATGGGCAACCACTGAAATGGCACTATCCTATAGGATTTTTATATGATCTCTATTGTGGTAATGATCCGCAGCTGCCCTGGATGTTGACAGTACACTTCACAAAGTTCCCTGAAGATATTCTTCTACATTGTCCTAACAAGTAATTATTTTATATTCTTGTTAGTAAGTAGTACTAAATCACAGTAATGTTTTCTATTGATTTTTAAACTCAATTAATTTCTTATATACACTGAAGGATCTGACTATTAAAATATTTGTCAGATCCGTCAGTATTCTACGACTATGATGATATATATAACATAATAAATATTTCTCTAATTACCTAAAATAATTATATTAGTATTATAGTAATTAAGTTTATGTTGTCATTATGTTTGAGTGTATTTTATAATGGGATAGATGAGTAATTGTAGTAAGAATGTAATTGTTTAGAAGTCTTAGTTTTTGATTGTTCCCTGAAACTTATTGTCTTATTTTTTTAACATGGATACATAAGTTTATGACTAAATGATATTTATTGCTAATTTTGCCCTCAAATAAAAATATATTTATTTGTCTATGTTACAGAGATGTAGTTGAAGCACATTATATGTCTACAGTAAAAGAGGCTGATGTACTGAAACATAGAGGTCAGGTCATGTCTACAATGCAAAAGAAAGATCATAACCAATTATGGTTGGGTTTGCAAAATGGTAATTATCATTTATACTTTCTCTAATATTTTAAATGATATAAAGTTCCTCATTAATTTTAATTCATGTTGTTTTAGACAAATTTGATCAATTTTGGGCTATAAACAGAAGGTTAATGGAGTCTCATGGTGACAATGAAGGTTTTAAACACATTCCAATAAGAATATATGTAGATGATGGTACTTGTGATCAACGTCTTATCAATCCAAAGAATACTGATGGTAGTAGAAAAGCTGTGCAACAAATGATCACAGAACTTTATCCAGAGAGAATAGATGGTAAGCTTGTATACACTTTAAATATGGGTTCAACCCATCAGAGGAGCTGTATTCATTACAGCTCTTCTAATGACACTATAGATTGTTTTAGACTGCTTTTAATAGATATCATTAGTCTCTTAATTTGTTTCAGTTAAATTAAAAACCCATGGAATTGTGATACCTTTGGATACACCACTTCAATGGCTTTCAGAACACATGAGTTACCCTGACAATTTCCTGCATTTGTGTTTATGTTGAAATATTGTTTTATGATTTTTGTATATTTTGGATTAGTTGTAAAAATAGTGTATAAGTATATATAATAATTTATCCTCTTAATATGTTATTATACTCTTACATTATACCAAACTTTTTCATAAGTGTGCTGATGATTTGATGAGTAAACAAAAGATATTACTCGTATAGAATTGATAACATGAGAACTAGCTTGTTTTAATTTAGCATAGTTATATCCTGACCACTTTTTTTTTACCATGAAACTCAATAAGAGTACTTACTTACACAATAAGGAATTATTATTATTAACAGGTTAATTATATATAATCCGCCATTGAGTATCTCTGCAGTCTGCACTTCTATTGACTGGTAGAGAATTTATGTCTGCTCTTTGTGACATATTTTATTGGTTTCAGTGCAAAAAAAAGTATAAAACTATACATTTGTTTAATTATGGGGATTATATTTAGTTTAATGGATATAAAGGAGGAAAAATATAATTGAACTTAGCACACCTCTTTTCTTCTAGTGGTCACGGGTTTGATTCCTCGCATGGTCCAAACATTTGTATTTAGGACTATGATTGTTTGTATCTGTCTGAGTGTTTTTATATACATATATTATGTATTTATTTACAAAAAAAAGTATTTAAGTATTATATCAATTGTTTAATCCAGTATATCAGCTGTTGTAAAAGTAGTACCCAAGTAAAACAAGCTACGCTTACCGTGGTACTACATAGAGCTTTGTTATTTGTCCAGGTTTATTCATTATTATCAAAATAGCTGTATTCATTTATCTAAAATTTTTTTGCACATTGATCATATGAATAAAAAACTAAATCAACATAATAATATTGGTTTAATATTGACAATCAAAATGATATGGGTATTAAAAACGTGAAAACTTTTGTATCATTGTTTTATTCAATATTTTTTAACAATAACAAAATGCTTTCAGCTTTAAGTGAATTTAGGATCTCCGGTTTTACCTCAACGTAATAAAGTTACGTTCCAACATTCCATTTCACTGACCAGGAACCAAGTTTCAAAGACTGTTTCGGTGGTTTATATTAATTGGTTTGGTTGCAAGTACTTGATACCTAATTTTCCATTCAAGTGACATAGATTTTATCACTTTGCTGGCCGGTGACTAATTAACTCGTCAAATGCATTTGCATTATCTATTTCAAAATCCAATAGTTTACACACACGACATAGTTTCTGTAATAATAATAATAAAATAATAACTTCCCGGTCTTAAAGTGTTAAATTATATTACATCATTTCGTGACTCAATATTTTTCAAGTATTCTTTATTATCTACGGTAATCATGTTTTTATTTTTTATCCATGCATTTGTACCTTTCCAACTATAAGGCACTTGCTATGTAAAATGTATAAATTACTTTTGAAACACAGATTGGTAATACTTACAGGTAAATAAATATGTATATTTATTTGTTAATTGGTTATTATACATAATTATTAAAACAGAAAAAAAAATTAAACCTGTGGTTTAAAAAACTTAGTCTATAATTTAAAAATATACAGGTTAAAGTACACATACATTATAATATGTACTTTAACTGTGCCTATATAAATAAAGGTGTCAGTTCATTATTGGTAAAACAATACCTGCACTAAGCCTTCAAGACGTAACGGTGAATAAATATAAAAAAAAAACGCAATGACATGCAGATGAGGAGAACGTAAATATAAAGGCTGTTAAGAGCTTAAGAAAGTATTCATTTATATTACATTCACTTATACATATAGGAACCATAAACGTGACACGGTTATAGTATGATTCGATTTTGTCCGTCTGGTGTCAGAGTATATTATTTCTGAACCCACTAATATTATGAAAATGACATCTGGAACAGCTACGTTTAGGTACTGGTGTTCCAGTATACATTACAAAATATTTTCTTTTTCTATGACCTAGAATTTCAAGTACAAGTACTAGCTTAAGTGGTAAAAAATAAATCTCACCCCTCATCTCCGAAATTTCTAAAGTAAAGATTTTCAAATAATTACAGTTGATAAAGTTACAATTACAGGTACAGTTGGTAAAAAAATATCAAAAACCTCCACAAACAAACTTAATTATTCGATTTAACAATCGTTATTCTATACTAGGGAAATCCTTAGCATATAATTTTTGTTTTCTGTATGTATAACACAATTTTGTATTTATAAACCTCATCAGCTACGGTTTGGTCACAATATTTATTCGGAACTCTTGGTGCGCGTGACCGATTCCTTATTTTTTGCTGTTAATTTTGTATTTTATTAAAATCTATTAATTTAAAAAAATAGAACTCTGATTATGGCTTTACATTTCATAATTCATAGGTACAATATTTACTGCTTGCTCCAGTACGTCGCCACGCCTTGCATAAAAATCATTTCTAAAAGATCAAATACAGGCTAAAATTACAATTTAATAAAAAAGATGTATTGTATAAACTTGAATTAATTTTAGATTAATTCCTATATTTACATAATTCATTAAAAAACGTACATCTTAAGACTCAGTAGCTTCCAGCTATAGAAAACTAATAAATATCACAACTCAATATAAATTTCCTTGATAAAATCTTAAGTACCTATATTTATATAGGTATTACTACTTGTTTTTTTGTTTATGCTTCTCTATCACGTACGGAATGTGTTTTGTAAATCGTTTACAGCCATTGTTCGCAAATATTGGTTGACTCTCCGTGGGCCCATATGTTATTACACTAAAGGCATCACTGTAAACAAAAGTAAAGTACACATTAAACTGACATTTTTTTATATTCAATTGTGATTTGATAGCATTGGAACTGGCAGGAAATTATTTAATTTTTTTACATGTTGCGAGGTTGTCCTCAACCCACCCTCAGAATCGCATGCTGACTTTTACTTAGTTTCATAACATAACGTTTCTTAGAAGTTTTGGATCAGGAGTAAATTGTTCATTTCACAGTATTTATTTATATTTATTCCTAGGCTTTTCTCGTGAAAATTAGTAAAAACTACAATGATAAATCATGTATATTAATATTATACATAATTCACAGCCATTAAAATATGATAAAGTCCTCCTCCCCCACTTTAATTTACTGATTTAGGGAAGGGGGGAGATTGTTAGTAATGGAGACTGACTCCTGGTGCCCTATTCCTAACAACGTACCATGTCAGGTCAACCAACATGCAACCACGACCCTTGCAAACCAATGTGGTTGATTGCTGGTGATACTGTTAAAATGGGTTTGCAGACCTCATTTCAAGGTCATCCTATCTTCCTCCACTGATGCCCAGCATCTACAGAAAGCGCAGGCTGATGTACGATTCTATTATTGTAATTCTCTGGCACAATATTAATAAGCGTGCGGGTTAATTGTACTCAATTTTCGTTTACCTTATTTATAAGTACATATGCTCCTATGTATAGTTTTATTCAATGAATTACAATATTATTTAAACTTACTCTAACATTTCCTCAGTTGGCTGTAGTATTCCGTTATCACGGAATGCTGCCATTGCACACAAATCTATATGGTATTGTTCAAGAGGTAGAAATGGTATGTAGTGATCGATCAAATGATGTGCAACTATTGCTGCTTTTTCAAAACCACCTGGTAATATAAACCAAATTAGTTAAATTGTTCTGTAGTTTAAATTAAATCAATGTTTGTAAAAAATATGTAAAATTTTCTATCAAGAGTAACTTTTTCATCTAGACCTGCATATTAAACAATCAGAGTTCATTTTACAATATCTGTAATTTTTAAATTATTAAGAGTGCTGGGTAAGTTTTATGTAACTGTAATGGAAAACAAATCGGCCTACCTGACAGTCAGTTGTCACCTGTATACATGAATAGCTACACAATTTAGTACTCCAGAATAGCAATGCATGGTATTTAATTGTCATATTTCATCCTTCAAATGTAATATACCTGACAAATGAAACTACTATCCTGTGGAAATTGTTAAGACAAAAGTATCCATTTAGACAATGTTAAATAATATTATAGTATGATATAGTATAAAATAGTGCAGTAATAAAATTTTAAAGTAATATTACACACAGGACACATTCAATGTTTTTGTTTATAATGGATAAATACAATGAATCCTCTATATTAAAAGTAATTTGTAGAAATTCGCTATTATTAGGGTGTAACATGATGCGGATTACAAAAAATAGAGATATCTATAATATATCCACCTGAATAAACCCACACTCCGCTCAGTACTTTAATGCACTGAAATTGGATTGATATTTCGGAATATAAACGTAAACATAAATTTACAAACCTTGACGATATGCTATTCTTCTTATTGTAGGTTCAAACTGATTAAATTCAACACTATTTCTTTTCACACCCTGTACATACAAATCTAGCAAATTGTCTGCTATCTCTTTACCACCAGTGTTTGATATAAATATGAAAACACTGTCCCTGAAAATATAAGCGTACATGTTGTTAAAAACCATATTCAGGTTTAGAATTATAATCATCATGTAAGAAAGTGAATCAGATCCAGTAATGCAAGGATGGTAAGATTTCAATATTACATATTATATATTTATACATATTATGTCACAGCAGTTATCCAAGACAATAATAATTTTTGATTTGATGAATGTGATTCCTTCACTGTAGTGTCAGAAATCAAAATTAATAATTGTTTGTCTGTCTGAAAGATTTGAATGAACTTTTGGGCATTTTTTTAATTTAGGGTAGTATACTACTGGGTCCAGATACTCGGAATGTATATAATAATTCTGTTGTTTACTATGTGCAATCATGCCTGTTGTGAGAGCAGCTATGAAGGTTTCCTTATAGTATCTAGGCTATGTCTATTGCTCTTATGGTCTTAATGCAAAAATAAGCCTGTACCAATTCTGAATAATAAATACTTTATATAAAACCACCTTGAACAGATGGTCTAGATGTTGATACTATGATACCTTCTAGATAGCAAATAGGGTAATATAAATTACCTGAAATCTACACCATCCACAGCATGATGGTGGTCAACCATAGGCTTTATTGCATCAAGAACTGACGGACACATATGATGTATTTCATCAATGATTATTAAAGGTTTTCGGCAAGCATTCACCATTTTTCGAATTATTGTAATGAATTTTTCCTGTAAGAAAAAAGTTCCCTGGAGATAAATGACCCCTTGAAGTGATGTGTTGAACACCAAGCTCAAGTGTTATTGCTAATCAAATTAAAAAAAATATTTGCATAATTTGATGCTCATAACTTTAACAATATTAAATATTATGTCCAGCGTGAGCCGGCATACAAGTGTGCAAATTTTTATACATTATATTATATTTGATAGCAATTGTAATGAATTATTAATTTTTAATTGTATGAAAGTCATTTCATTAGAATTACACATAGCTATTTTATATTATATAATGCAGATGCACTACAGAAACACAGCAGTCTCACTAACATCCCTGTTGGGAACAAAAACAGTGTTCAGTTTTTTTCTATACTTTCTTTTATAAATTGACAGATTATAAAAACTATATATAGAAAAAGTATAATATCACAACAATCCCGATGATGTTATTGTAAAGAATAATTTAACTAATGTAATAAAAATTATAATTAACTTACTCGACTCTTTTGTACATCTGTACAATCAAAATCTGTGCTGCCCATAAATACTTTTACAAATTTACTATGCATGCCTTCTTTATACAAAGCTTCAGCAATCAATGTTGATGCATAATTCTTACCAACTCCAGATAATCCATGTATACTTATAACCAAAGCTTTTTTGTTAGGTTTGCTACCATCAAGCATTGCTTCTTTATGAGCACGTAAAATATTAACTAATTCACCAGCTAATGGTTGACCAATCAGTTTTTGTTCAAAAGACTGTTTCAATTCTAGAAAAAATAGAAAACAATATATAATACTTATTTTTTAATACAATAAAGTAACTTTTTAATAAAATAATTCTAGCCAATCTTGGTTTAGACAACAAAACACTGTTAACTGTACAGATATCTTTAGATGTTGATTAAATGACATATTGAAATTTGTTCTATCAATAAGCTGTATTGTGGGTTGGCTAGAACTGCAAGCAAATTAGAAGTGAACAAGTACATAAGAACTCACTTTCCAAATCATAAGGAATATAAGCTTCATTACAGCACTCCATATAACGACATATAGTGTTATCTTTGATAAGAGGTCCCCATTTAAACAATGATGCTCCACCTATTGCTGTAGCAGCACCAATAGCCGTTAAGGTTATGAGCTCAGAAAATACATAATTGTTTGTACTCAAAACACATAGAGAAAATAAAATATAATTTAGTTTCAGATGCATCATTTTTACATTCACATTAAGAAGAGGTAATATTTCATTGAATTAAATAATGATAAATTAATATAGGTTTTAGAGATAGGTGAGAAGTACAATATTCAAGGAAATATTTTAATAATTGTAATAAATATATGTTTTGATAATAATTTTTAATTCTATACAAAGCACAGATCAAATCAATTTACACACAGTGTAAGTACTAGTAGTAACAAAAATTTTCCAAATGGGTGACTATCATGTCACTGTCACCCCTTGTACCCACGAGACACAGTAATTTATAATGTAAAAGGCCCTTAAAAATACGTAAAGTTTAGTTTGTAGACCTAACCGATCATAGAGCATTTTAGGCAATTGGTCACATATTTCTATTAAACATTTAGTCTTATTCTACACTGCAAGTATTCAATTCATTTTTATAAAGTCAAATATCGATAACTGTTTACATCCCTACGTTCTTTGTCACTATCTAATTTAGTAATGTGTCAACTCGGAAAAAACAATCGAATAGAAATCGAGTTACACATCTCAAAACAGATGACAAAAAATAAGTGTATAAATACAAATAACTTTTTGTAAAAGTTATTACTTATTAATATTAAACTTTATAATGTTATACCTATCCCGTTAATATTTTAATCATGAAAATGAAACATAGTTAAATGTCTTTCTTACTTGACGTAACAAATATATAATAATCTACTACATAATCTTACTGAATTTGTTTATTTATTGCTCAATAAATTGTTAAAATAATAAAGTTTATGAACAAGATATACAGATTATATTAAATAACAAAAAATATATGTAGCGAACGAATCACGTTTTCGACTAATTCGTTTATTTGCTGCCAATCCCAACTTGACTTAGGTTGAATTCAACTCGATTTAACTCGAACTTAGACAACTCGAGTTAGTAACTCGACACATTACTAATCTGACCTAACCTCAAAGAGACTTTTTTGGCGGGAAGTCAAATAGAGCGGGTGTTTTAAATATTTTTCCTTTATTTTATATTTTATTTATATTCAATAATTTGTATATATAGGTACAACTAACATAATTTGTAGTTAATTACAGTCCTAAAATGGGAAGTAAGCGCAAAAAGCGCAAAGCCGATGATAATTGCTCCCCAGAAAATTCGAGGGATGTCGACAGTCCAGATTCTGACTCCTCAATGGATGAGGATAAGTATAAAGTTTTTAAAATCGATAATTACTGTCGCCAATATCCTGAGGATGGAGGAAATTTTGAATATATAGTTATTTATGAAAGTACCGATACGAGGCCTTTAGGCGACAGAGACCTTATGTCCCTTGGCGCCTGTCTTAAGCGCCAAAGCAAGGGTATAAAACGTTTCAAGAGAATTAATAAATATAAAGTTGGAGCCATTTTTGAAAGGCCAGGTTTAGCCAACATAGCATTAAATAACACCAAAGTACAAAAAGATTTACATGTTAAAGCCACAATACCTGCAACATTAACAGAAATAACAGGGGTCATAAAAAACGTACCTATATACATGTCAAACAAAAGTATTTACAATGGTATTTCCAGCTCCAGAGACGTCGTCTCGGTGCGCCGGTTTATGCGAAGAAGTCGTGATGAAGATGGTAACACAAGTTTTCTGCCCACCCAATCAGTCGCCATTACCTTTGCCTGTCCCACACTCCCTACGAATGTCGATATCAACTCATGGTATTTCGAGGTAAGCGCTTACACCCCACCAGTAACACAATGTTTAAAGTGCCTGAGATATGGCCACATTGGTAAATTTTGCAAAAATACTCAACGTTGCTCAATATGTGGAGAAAACCATCATTTTAAAGATTGCACTAAAAATAGCACAGAAGCTGTATGTCTTCACTGTAATGGTAACCATATAGCTATCTCAGCTGAATGCCCAATTAAAAAGAAGAAAATACAAGAAAACAAAATAAAACACAAGACTGTTCCTTTCTCTAGTTTATTTAATGAAAAATCTTTTCCATCTTTAAACACTAAAACTAAACCTACTGACAATATTAACACATTATTGCAAAATGATGACTTTTTAAAACTAATCATTGCATCAGTTATTAAAATTATTTCTGTTAATAAAACAGATGACTCTCCCTTAAACTCAGAAGGCATAAAAAACATAATTTTAGATACTTTTAAGATTTCCAGTACTAACACTAATTAATAGTATCTCTTTAATGGATAATATTTTAAATATTATCGAGTGGAATGCCCAGAGCTTGATAAATAATAGACTTGCTTTTACTTATTTTTTATATAACAACAATATACATATCGCCCTTCTTTCTGAAACTTGGCTAAAGCCTTTCAAAAACTTTAATATCAAAGGTTACAATATAGAAAGATTAGACATTGGTAATAATCATAATGGTGTAGCCATTCTAATACAAAACAAATTGAATTATGACAGATTAAATACATATCACGATGATTCTTTGCAAAATATCGCTTTAAAATTATATTTGAAAAATGAAACAATTTCTTTTGTTAGTTTTTACAGCCCTACATCCGCAACGTCACGTAACTTTACACATTTACATTTAGATAACTTATTTAAATCTATCCCGTCACCTATGATAATAGCGGGTGACTTTAACGCCCACAATACCACTTGGGGTTGCTCTAGAACCGATTCTAGAGGCACTATTCTTCTTAATACTATTGAAGACAATGATCTTTGTATAATTAATAATGGTCAACCCACTACTGTAGGCTCTGATATATGGAGTCCAAGTGCTCTGGATCTTACAATTGTTTCTGCCTCTCTGTCACTCCGATGCAATTGGTCTGTACATGATAATCCTTTAGGGAGCTATCATCTTCCAACCATCACCCACCTTTTATGTAACACTGTAAATACAAATAACATTTCCATTAATCATAGTAATTTTTTTAGGCCAAATTACAATAATGTAAACTGGCTTGTATACCAAGAGACTGTTGATAATAAATTATGTAATGAATTTAATTACGATCCTTCCACCCCTTTAGACTCCTATAAACAAATGTGCAATATTTTAATAGAAAGCATTAACACAGCTAATAATTCACATGGAAATTTAAAACATTCTTTAGTCTGTAATCACAAGACAAGACTTTCTTTGCCATGGTGGAACAATACTTGTTCTCAAGCAATAGAATTATGTAAGAAAACTTACATAGATTTTAAAAATAATCCCAATCAAGAAAATTACATAAGATTTAAAAGACAACAGGCAATCAAAAAACTTACTCTCAAAAACGAAAGAAATGCCAGTTGGTTAAAATTCTGTGAGTCGATCAATCGGCAAACTCCTCTATCAGTTATCTGGAATAAAATGAAAAAATTTAATAAAACATTTAATAACAACTGTTCACTTATATCTTCAGACACTGATTGGATTTCTCCTTTCTTAAGTAAATTTACATCCAAACCGTCAGCCAAAAGTAGACCCAATATACAGGTATCATTAAATAATAATAACAGCTTCATTATAAACCCTTTTACTATAACAGAATTTTACAGTGCCTTAAACAGCAGACGTAACACAGCTTTCGGTCTTGACAATATCTCTTACAAAATGTTAAAGACATTGTCATCCAATTCTAAAAACACTTTGTTAATGTTACTTAACTCTCTTTGGAATACTTCAGAAATACCACCCGATTGGAAAACAGATTGTCTGATTCCTATTCTTAAACCAGGCAAATTGATAAATCATTCAGACTCCTATAGACCTATAGCATTAACATCTTGTATGAGTAAACTTTTCGAACAAATGATTAAACAAAGGTTAGAATTTTATATAGAATCAAATAAGTTATTACCTTCAAATCAGTTTGGCTTCAGGAAAGGTTTTTCAGCTACAGAGAGCTTAAATCATTTAAACCTAGATATTCATCGTGCTTTTTCTAGTAACAATATACTGGTTTCTGTCTTCTTTGATATAGTTGGTGCTTTTAACAATGTTAATCATCATATTCTAACTAATGAACTGCAAACACTAGGAATACCAGATAAGTTGATTAACTGGATTTTTAATTTCCTACATAATAGACAAGTCTATGTTAAGTACAATAATAATTTATATGGTCCACAATCTTCATATATAGGTGTATGTCAAGGGGGAATATTGAGTCCACTGTTATTTATTTTGTATATTCATAAAATTAATATTATTCTTGGTAATGAAGTCAGCAATTTACAGTTTGCTGATGATTTAGCAGTTTACTGTTCAGGCTCAAATATTCATATAGTAGAAAATAAAATAAACAAAGCTCTAAAGAAATTAAATGTTTATTTTAAATATTTACAATTAGATATTAGTTTAGATAAAACTAAAGTTGTTATATTCAGTAGATCAAGAACTTTGCATGCTAATATTAATTATAATGGTAGCATACTGCCTGTAGTAGCTGAAGCCAAGTTTCTTGGTGTAACATTAACAAAAAATCTATCTTGGAATAAGCATGTCTGTAATATATCTGATAAAGCTTCTAGAGCTTTTAATATTTTAAAATGCCTTTCCAAAACATTTTGGGGGGCTGATCCAAAGATTTTACTTATGTTGTACAAATCCATAGTCCGTTCTCACTTTGAGTACAGTTACCTTTGCTTTGCTTCCAACCCCACACTCTTAAAAAAATTAGAGACAATCCAAAATAATAATTTGCGTCTAATCACTGGTGCAATGAAAACAACTCCAATAGTCTCTCTCCAAGTAGAATGCAACATTCCACCACTGTCATTAAGATTCAAATTTCTTAAATTTAAATTCTTGCTAAAATTACATAGCTTTTCCAATAATTCACTGTTACAAAAAATTACAGATTCTCAAACCATTGCTTCTTCTTCTAATTCCATAAAATTTCCATACATTCTCCTTGATTTCTCTGCAATGAAATCTATAATTGAGCAAAATAATATTCATGTGGCAAATAATAAGTGGGCATGTTATGAAGGGACATATGACAGTAAATTTTGCAATATGACAATAGAAACAGATAAGAACTTAAAATGTAAAGAAGAAGTTTATGAACATCTTTCTCAATGGCCTTCATTTAACACAATATATACAGATGGTTCAAAAAATGACCAAGGTGTGTCATTAGGTTTTTACCATAGCGACATAAAAACTGGTTATGGATTTCGATTACCTACCATTACTAGTATATTCACTGCCGAAGCCTTGGCTATTTTGCAAGCTTTGCATTATATTAACGAAGACATATGCGCTAAACCTCATAATCAGTGGCTTATCATTAGTGACAGCATGTCAGTCTTATCAGCGTTGCAAAATCATTCATTTAGTGCCAAAACAAGCTATATTATTTACCAAATTAAAGAACTATGGACTGTTTTGTTTAATAAAGGAAAAGAAATTATATTTACTTGGACACCGGCACACAAAGGTGTGACAGGTAATGAAGAAGTAGATTACCTTGTCAAAACTGTCAACAGATTGGGTGGTGAGTCTAAAAAAATTTTCTTACCTTGGCAAGATTTAATTCTTGAAATTAAAAAAAACTTATTAAAAAATTGGGAAGAAGATTGGAAACGTACTACCAAAGATAAAGGTACTTGGTATGCAGGGATAAACAGTACTGTTGGCAAAAAACCCTGGTTCATTCAGGGAAAAATATTTTTAGAGAGAAGATTTTATACTCAAATTTGTCGACTACGATTTGGACATTGTAAATTCAATGCACATTTACACCGAATGAAGATCATTAATTCTCCGATTTGTCTTTTATGCTCTAGTAACGAAAATCAAACATTAGAACATATATTTTTTGATTGCCCGGCCTTCAATTTAAACAGAATTTTGCTCATTGCTAAGCTTCAAGAACTATATAAGATTATTCCGCCATCGCTTCAAGAATTATTCAAATGCACTGCAACTTTTAAACCAATTTACGACTTCATCATAGCAACAATCGGAGAATTATAAACATTTCAATTATGGACACATACATGGACTTAACACAAACTTATAATTAATGAAAAGATTTGGCGATATCGCCTTGAAGAATTTTTGAATTTTCATGGAAATACTACTGAAGATTAGGCTGTATGGTCTCGTACCTTTGCCTATCCACTTGTGGATAAAATATACCACTACTACTAACCTCAAAGAGTAAAGTAAATATACCAATGTACCAAATTAACCTACAATACAAAACAAAATTCATGTAAAACAATACATGCAAGTACGTGTTGGAATTCAAAATTATTTTAAAAAATAAATCTATTTTAGATAACGTCCAATATAATATATCTAGTTTGCTCTAAAGTTTTCATAAGAAGTAATGGGTAAGAAAAGAAAGTTGACTAACAAAGATGACGATTTTGAATATGACCCCGTACCCAAACATTTAATTACTTCACATATACAAAAACAAGAAAAACGTCTGATAGTTATTTTGGAAAATGCACAACTAGAAACAGTGAAGGTACGTATCAAATTATAGATGTAACATTAGCAAGCATATATTTGCATGTAGATGTTTCTATTACATTGTTCGCCTGTGATTGCCTCCACATATTAATAATATAGGTAATTATTAGTTATTATCGTAAACTATTCAAATTGGTTCTCCAGTAAGTTCCAATATTACCCTCATGTTGGACATGAAAGAATTATTTATAATGCAAATATTTGTTATATGACACTTATGTATAATATTACTAAAACGTTTCAGACAGGCAATACTTTTGAGTTGTTAAACTGTGATGACCATGCCAACATACTGCGTAAAAATGACCGTGATCCAGGTTCATGTCGTCCGGATATCACCCATCAGTCACTACTAATGTTGATGGACTCTCCACTGAATCGTGCAGGCCTCCTGCAAGTGTACATACACACTGAAAAAAATGTTCTCATAGAAATAAATCCACAAACTCGAATACCAAGAACATTTAAAAGATTTGCTGGATTAATGGGTAGGTGTTAATGAGTATTTATTTGTATTCTGTCTCATTTCATATCACATATCTCACACAAGTTGAAAAAATATGAAGTCTGTTTTACAGTAAGCATTATTTTCAAAAAATTATAAAATAATCTGTAATTGCTGCATTCGCATAATTTTAAATTAATGTTATTTGCCTATTTACACAATAAAACTTATTGATTAAGATTTTTATTGTCTTTTACAATTTTTTTTTTAATTTATTAAATTGCAAATATGCTTGATGTATTATTATAATGATAAGAGACCTGTGTCCTATCTTACTAATAATTGTTTTATCCTTACATAGTATAAAACAAAGTCACTGTCACTGTCTGTTCCTGTGTATGCGTAAATCTTAAAAACTACTCAATAGTTTTTAAAGCAATTTTTTTAAATAGATAGATTGATTGTAGTGGAATGTTTATATGTATATTTATAAATACAGAAGGTTGTACATTATGCATGTACTTCGTTAGTTACATTGTGCTATATATCTTTAAATGTAGTTCAATAGTACATCAATAATCACAATATTTTTGTTAGGTAAGATTTAGTTTATTTAATGATTTTAATCATAAAAAATATATCAGAGTATAGAGGAAAGTGCTTTCTTTTGTCTACATTACAAAATATTGTGAAGCTTGCAATTTTGTACAGATAATGCAATGTTAATATGGATTCTATTATATATTATGCTTTTAGTTCAGCTGTTACACAAGTTCGCAATCAGAGCTTCAGATGGGCCCATGAAGCTATTAAAAGTCATAAAAAATCCTGTGACGTCACACCTACCTGTTGGAGTGAAGAAGATCACAATGTCATTTAGTTCGAAAATGGTACAAAATTGTAGACAATTAGTACCGAAAACGGATCCTGTCGTCCTAGTGGTAGGAGCCATGGCTCATGGGAAAGTGGAGGTGGATTATTCGGAGGATGTGATATCCATAAGTAACTATCCATTGTCAGCTGCATTAACATGTGCAAAATTATGCTCGGCGTTTGAAGAAGTTTGGGGAGTGGTGTAATAAAACATCCAAATATTAATTGTTTTTTATTGTATGTATAAGATTAAACCTTAGTAGGTATATGTTATAATTATATAAATGAAATTTATCTATAAATCTACTGCTAGATTTTTCCTTATATATCACTGTATCATCTTTTATCCTAGTTGTTGTGCATTCCTCCTAGGGATTAGGGCCAGTTTAATGCATGAAATATATAAATATACATGGTGCACCCACCTGACCTTAAGGTATAGGCTGGCGGTATTAAACCAGATCAGTCAGTCAGATCATGGGCTATTGTATCCATAAGTATTCAAATATACTTGTTGTAGTGTATGTGGAAACACTAGCAGTTTATTATCTATCGTCTCGAGCCGAGCGTACACGAGCCGCCGTGTGCAAAAGGGGAGGGATTCCCTGCGCAAGCGCCGCGGAGTAAAGACGTGGAGCTGTGGCTAACGAGCCGATATTATGTCGATAACAACTTACATACAAGAAGACATAAATAACAAATAAGTGAACACTATACTTGTTATTAAATTTAATAAAGTTTATTTCAATTTCATAAATATAATTGGAATTTCGAACTGTCTTTTTATATATAGATATTGTTATTGTTAACATTGTTAGCGACAGATCTAATTTGGAATGATATTATATATTTATTATAATATATAATGTATTTGTACTTAGCTGTATGCTTTTATTTGAGGTAAATAATTACACTACTGTGTGGTTAGATGTCGCTACTATGATCTTGAGAGGTATTATAAAACAAAATAAGTAATTGAAATAGAATTAGTCACCCTTTTTCATTCAATAAATTAATTACAATTACATGAGAAATAAATAATTTAGTTTACAGCATTGCAACCTTATTATACGATATCACATATAAAGTTCCAGTATAATCTATTGTTAAAAAATGTATAATTAAAATAAATCCAAATTATATAAGTACATGAAGTTCATTTATTTTTAATAATTTAACAACTAATTATGAATTTGTATCAATGAAAGACGACGAAACATAGTCATCACTTAGAATAAGATTTCATTACATTTATCTAAACTACATACCTACCAACTCGTATCTATATTAAATAACACTAGCTCGAATCTGATAACTAAGTAAATTATGATAAAATGTAATAGAACTCTTGGGAGATAGTTAACTATATAAGGAACAATACTATTATGAGGGACTTTATCAAAGTTTTGTTTCTGAGATTAAACCTATTCAAGTGCGTTTTTCTATATAAAAATACATTGGTAACTACGTACGGCGCGGCGGCGTGGCGGTTAAAAAACTGTTTGTAAACATATTATAATAGAACAAACACAATTTTAAGTGAAGCTTATTACAACACATTCGTTATGTGTTTGTAAACTGAAATTTGTCTCAGTTGATATGAGAAAAGAATTTATCTGTCAAGGAGACGAGTACTAGGAGACAAGTTCATGTACCCAATATATACGGGTACGACGTCGCGGGCTCGGCTATTATATTCACACATTGTGTAGCTACTACAAGCTCTTGGGATTTCAAATATAGAATACCGATACAAGCAGCAGGTTGCTATGATACTATATAACGTAAACAATGTAATATAATTCATACATTACATCCCAGATTACAGACACATACAATACAGAACAGCAATGGTCGTCAAAATCGAAACTCTCCTTACTGTTTCGTCAAAGTTGGGTAAAAATAACGAACATTTTTGATTAGGTACACCTCTACAACAACATTTATATTTTATATTTTTAACGATCGAAAAAATTCAAAGGAAAAGAAGTGCCTATTTGGTATATTTGAAAAAAAAAAAGAAAACTATCGACACATTAGTCATTATTTACTAAATACCCAACACAGTGCGCCAGTATAAGGCGCCAGTACGGCATGGGCTATGATAAGTAAGTACACATGAAAAAGATTGTAATTGTAATAGGTTTATGGAGATATTATTTCACCTGGTGACTCATTATTTAACCCATAAAAAATACCATATGAAAGCATGATATCTACGGAGTCACGTGCGCAGCGTACTTTTTCAAACCACGTATTCAGAACAAATGTTTGCGTATCAATTTAGCAGTCATTCACCGCCAAACATTCGCAGTTGGCCTCATTGCATCACGTCTAAATATAGTGTTATTGTAGATAGAGTCATAATCATGTTCATTACCCAAGTGGCATATCGATCATATCACAGAACGTTTGTTTTTGAGTGGAAGTAACCTAGTATTTTGCTACAAATCCCTTGCATGTTTATAAATATGCTTCAACTATAAATATACTTAATTATACGGATATACAAATGAACTGATATGACACTTCCCTAGTACCTAATGGGAAGTTGTAAAATAGTGGTTTCGTTTATCTTCAGCCAGGTAGGTTTGGAATATACGACGTACGATACATGTACTTATGTGAGTTCGCCTCTTATGAATCATCGGGATCAGTTCCTGGTGAATTTGCCCCCTCATTTTTATTTTATCAGGATGCCATTAGAATAAGCGGTCCTAATTTCAAAAAACATAAATATAGAAAGAATTCTGTAGGGCTCGGCAAAAATTGAACTGATTGAACATAATCTTACTGTGAGCTTGGGCAAATCTCGTGGTATTCAAATCCTACTCAAGTTAGTTCCCGTTAACATCGTTTTCATCGAATACCAGCATATATAATTATTATCATTATTATGAGAGTTCAATTATGCGATAGATAGTAATAACCAATCGCTAACAGTTCGTTTCGCATGCGCATTCATGAATAAACAATAAGGACGTAAGTAGATACATACCTATTGATAAATAGCTAGTTGAAACTGAGTTCGTGGTAATACGAACGTAAGTATTATTCAACTATTTACAGTACGAATAAGTAGGTATCTATTAGTCGAATTAGTATCGTATCGCATGATTAATACCTATTATCTAAAAATCTACGATACCGAGAAGGCGCCTACGTGCGCCGATACGCGTTAACAACTTGCACAAATTATTCTATACATACCTATTTGTTTGGTGGATGAATGTCATACTTATTCTTTCATCATCTACTGGTGTGGTTCAATTAATGTAGTTCTGTAGGAATAGTTTTATATATTTATAAAATTATACACACGATACACGGTGGCTCAGTTCTGGACTTAGTGCTGAGGGGATTATGGGGAGGTTTACGTCCAGCTGTTGATGATAGTCCTGTCCGGTCCTGATGAAGATGATATGATCAAATAAAATGTTTACAAATTTAACCTTCTTTGTTTAGTAAATATGAGGAGTACCTAAAAATATTTACACCAGTCTGTTAGGATGCTAGAAGGTAGTATAAGCAAATAAAATTGGATGAGTTTTTCAAAACACGTCGTTTGGATCTACTATATCTATGTATACATATACTGTATATGTTTATCGAATTTCGTGAGCGCCACATAATAATATGATTGTGCAACAGATCAAAACTCGGGGGCAGTGGCGCCTGGCCAGCGCTCATCACGGCCATATAATGCAATCATCTATTTTCGTGCTGAAGCATCCACGCTTATGCTCACGTTTACCCTATACATATAAACTTATACAATAGGTGTTATATATATATATATATATTGTATATACAAGTACTTAGTGTTTATATGACGCGATGATGCATATGTCACCATTATACACAAAGAATTCTTTTGAAACGACCTTCCTCGTCATTGTACTTAATATATCTAATCTTATCTTTGATATTATTGTAGGTACTTTCAGGAATTTCACTCAGAAGGCACTAGGTTGGTGTGTTATTTACACAAATTTTGTATATATGTACCTCAGCTACATGTTAAGTCCGTATATATAATTGAATACGATATATAGATACTGCTATCTGCTATCTACCTTCACATATAGAAACTGACTCTCCAGGCGGAAGTAGATAACATTGCGATGCATTATGGCGTTTCCAAATAACCTCTATTTGAATTTTAAAACTGACCTAACACTACTGCTTACTGACGTATGTGAGCATGAAAAGCAAAGGAAAATCATTCAATCAAAATTATGAGGAATTATGATTACCAGAAAAATAAATAGGTATTATAGTATAGTTTGTAATTCCATCAACGGCTTTCATTCCAAATAACATGAACACAGGTGGAAGCAGCAACCGGTGAGCGTGATGACGGTGCGCGGCGCGGCGACGATGCTGCGTGGTTGTTGGTGAGAGGAAACCTGTTCGGTGAGGTGTTCTCGCCACGCCATAATACCGTCGTGTTGAAACGTGGGCGTCTGCCGCACCTAACGCTGGCCTGCTGCGGCCGGTACTATTTAAACGTGGAATAGAATGAAGAATGTTAACTAATTTTGAATTTAGCTCTCCATATTCTCTGTCAAAAATAAAAAATATAAGTGAAAGAATTACTTCAATATGTCAATTAGTTTCTGAGTTATAGAAGTAAACGTGCGATGCGGACTCGTGTGACGGTGTGACGTTATAGTACAACACTCGCTCTGTCCGCTCGCGCTCTCAGCACGGAGTCGTCTTACGTTTCATTAGAAATTACAAATACCTTCAAAAATAACCAAACCAAATACTAGGTAATCATGTGTTGTACCGAAATATACAAATACAAGCACCAAAGTAATAGTTATTTTTATTATTGCCACAAAAAAATCTAACAAATTTGATAACAGTCATTGAGTCCTCTCTTCGACGATGTAGCCACATTAAAAATGCGTTTACAGCCTCTGTTGGCAGCACAATCTTCGCAAGATACGTTTAAAACTTCTTGGTCCTTTCATTACATTCTAAACTGCAACGATAACGTGTGGTACGTACGCGGTATACGCGCGTGATTCTACATTTGACCATACAAACATCACTTGCTCTTTTTACTTGTATGAAGTTGTATGTAACCGATAACATCATCACCAAAGCTGTCTCTTGCCGACCTGGAATAAGTTACAAATAAAAATAAATGAAACGGCCTATCAATGAGATAAATCAATATATGTGTTTAGTTAAATTTACTAAAAGAGGCA